TGTCTCGCTACGAGAGCGATCAACGAACTCTGTGCCACGCCGCGTTACGAGTTGACAACATTCTGTCGTCGTCGATATTATTACAAAGAGGAGAGCCAGGGAAATGCCCCAAGGGCTCCCCCCATCAATTTGCATCCTGGATGTGAACTACTATTCAAACTAGATTTGTGTTACTCTTTGGTTCTTTGGGTAAAGTCACGTAGGCATAAAATAAAATAAATTAAATCACGACGTTTCGTGATTTAATTTTCGATTTTTTTTTAATTGCTGTAGGTTTCCCACCCCATGTTGATTGCTTGTGTTGCAATCGAAACGTCGTGATTGTATTTATTTTATTTTATACCTACGTGACTTTACCGAAAGAACTTCAACTCTAGATTCAAATCTAGATTATATTTTTGTTATTTTATTTTAGCAGGTAAGGGCCCCATCACAGAGCCACGTCGCACTTTTTCAGAAGCGACCTGGCTGCCGCGAAAAATAGCTCGAGGTAGTGGGCTTATTATCACGTGGACATTGATAGCAGCAGCCACATACTCGAAACGCGTGACGTCCATTCTAAATGTGGAAGGAAAAACCAGAGGATCCAGAGAAAAATCCTCGCCACCACGGGAAGAGAGAGAGGCACGCAAACTCCAAATATACAGCAGGCATCGTCAGGGTCGGGATCGAACCCACGACCTCCTGTATACCAGGCGAGGTAGTTAACATCTCCTAGGCACCATGATGATGATAAGAGAGAGACACGCAAACTCCAAATATACAGCAGGCATCGTCAGGGTCGGGATCGAACCCACGACCTCCTGTATACCAGGCGAGGTAGTTAACATCTCCTAGGCACCATGATGATGATAAGAGAGAGACACGCAAACTCCAAATATACAGCAGGCATCATCAGGGTCGAGATCGAACCAACGACCTCCTGCAGACCTGGGAAGGCAGTTAACATATCGCCACAGTGGATGTACGAACAGACGGACGGACGGGCACCTGAAGGCATTTGTAGTTCGCGTGTAAAGTCTCGTCAGACGCAATGGACGGACAGATGGACAGAGGGACCTGTGGTGCAGGTAGCGTCCATCGCATTGCACGGTGATGGCACGGAGCAGCCAATCAGCAGCCAGAATAAAACGCCCCGTTCAAAGGGCACCGGAAAAAAACGGCTGCGAGGCGCCAAGTCCCCCCATGAGTTGGGAGCAACTCAAAAAATCTTCTTGGTAGGACGACGCCTGTGGTGTCATGTCTGGCGCGTGGGCCCCGCCTGGCCCGTGGGCCACGGTTGCAGCGTTGCCGCCTGAACAGCTGACATCTCCACCAACGCGGGATCCACGCGTCCGGTGTGAGCCCTGTGCGACGGGGATCGAACTTAGGGCCACGTGGAGAACCGCTTTTGCGGTTTACCGTAAAAAAAATAAGAATCCGCTTTTCCCACAAGCGTGTCAATCCTTTTGGCGTCATCTGGTCCAACACCATGTGAGACTAGGCTCTAAGAAAAGCTGTCTCGGGTGTGGACCAATAAATTTCAAGAACAGTGTATACATGATCAGAGTTGTGTTTTTTTGTTTGCATTCCGACCGCAGGTATTGTGGTCAATGCAAACATGACTCCTTGTAGAAAAAAGGTGTCAGTTTTGTTGCCAGATAAAAGGGTAAAAAGCCAATGATCATATTTTGCTACTGGCAAAGGAGGTTCCAATGGCGTGTCCAAATCCCTTCGGACAATTCCTTCACAAGCTTTAGTATCACCCCGAGAGGTAACACGTGGTAAAGGCTCAGCACACTGCGAATTCTCTCTGCCGGAAGGGCCCTCCGCTAGAGGGAGCTCCAGAGAGCCCCCCCCCCTCTACCCCCCGCCCCCACCGACTTACCCCCCCCCCCCCCCGTCCAGGAGAGGGCGTTGTCAATCTGTACCCTGGGCTGACCTCACCGCGAGATTTGTCGCGCGAGCGATGGTCGTGGTGGTGGTGGGGGGGGGCTCAAGCCGCTGGGATTGCTGAGTTGCATCGTATGACGTTCATAGGCGCGGCCGCCTATGAATGTCAGAATCAGGAATGTTATTTATTTATACGCTGCAGGAGGAATCTGATGAGCTATCAAGCTCCCCCCCCCCCCCCCCCCCCCCCCCCACCACAGATTGTCCTGCAAGAGGGGGACCGGGTGCAGAACGTTACAAGGGTGTCACGGTGCCTAGGAGATGTTAACTACCTCGCCTGGTATGCAGGAGGCCGTGGATTTGACACCGACCCTGACGCATGTTGTATATTTGGAGTTTGCATGTCTCTCTCTCTCTCATCATCATCACGGTGGCTAGGAGATGTTAACTACCTCGCCTGGTATACAGGAGGCCGCGGATTCGATCCCGTCCCTGACGCCTGCTGCTGTATATTTGGAGTTTGCGTGTCTCTCTCTCATCATCAACACGGTGGCTAGGAGATGTTAACTACCTCGCCTGGTATGCAGGAGGCCGTGGATTCGATCCCGACCCTGACGCCTGCTGCTGTATATCTGGAGTTTGCGTGTATTTCTCCCCGTGGTCGCATGAATATTTCTCCCGGTCTTCCGGTTTATCCCTCTGCATTTAGAAACGTGCGTTTAGAGTATTATTGGCTGCTATAAAAATGTCCACGAGATTTGTGGACAAGCTAGCAGAGTTAAGTGAGCCTGAACCTGGTAAAATGCAAACAGCACGTTTTTTTACAACGGCAAACTATATAAAAACACAACAGGCGTGCAAAGTATAGGACAAGTCAACACACCGCTCGATATCTCTACAGCTTTCCTTGGATTTAATAGCAGCAGATTAAACACCTAATTTTTCATTTGTTATCCACTCAATTGTCTCGTTCAGACGCAGAGTGGACCTCGTCCGTTCCTCCTTCAAAGACAGCGGTGCGGTGTTTACGATGCGGTCGATGGTTTGGGAAAGAAATCACGTAAAATATTATACGAATAAAATTACTGTAAACATGTTTTGTTTCGGTATCATATCATGTAAAGCCCACGGGGCTACGAGCTTCTTCAATTTTCAGAAGCGGGACCCCGAAAATTTGTATACAGTACGTTGAACTTCTTTCGCACCGTACGTAGCCAGCGGCGCTAATCGGAATGTACTAATTAGCTAAGAACGTCAGCGTTAGTCGTGTGTTGGAGGCGGCTAATTGCCCAGCCGTCATCAAATTACCCCGTCGCTAAACTTGTACCCAAAGTAACAGTGAACCCATTCGCGATGTACCGGTGAACGCGTATGCAAAGCAACTGAACTCATACGCAAAGTGACAGCGAACCGGTTATATAAAAGTAGGCATGGAAATGACACAAATTCAACGTTAAACACAGTACTGTCACGGCGAGGAAAAGGACACGTGATGTGTAAGACTCCCACACTTCACGATCATTCAATGGCAGCTCCGATTAGCACTGTCGGCGGCGTGCGTTGTGAAAGAAGTTCAACGCACGCAGTGTACACACACGTGGACTATAGGGTGCTGATACGGAACGTGTTGCCGGCACCGCTGCTGCTGCTGCTGCCTCCGTTAAGGGACACTCGGTCGAGCCGCGGTGACCACACGGGACCCGGGATAGGGCGGATGAGACAGGGCATCTAACAATACCGTGAGGTTTCTGCGTAAGGCGAGAAAACAGATATTTCTGTTTTGTAATTAACAAAAAAAATCACCAGGTAATGGCCCACTACTGAGCGATATTTCTATTTGTTTTCAGAAGCTACCCGGTCATCACAAATGACAGCTCAACGAAACGGCGGCTTATGATGATGATCATCATCATCGTGTGGAAATTGATAGCAGCAAGCAAAGACTCTGAACGCGTGACGTCGATTCTAAATGTGGAGGGAAAAAAACCGGAGGACCCGGAGAAAAATCCACGCGACCACGGAGAGAGAGAGACACCGCAAACTCCAAATATACAGCAGCAGCAGGCGTCAGGGTCGGGATTAAAACCCATACGCGAACCCACAACTTCCTCCAGTAAACCAGGCAAAAGGCAGACATCTCACTTCGCCGTGGCCGGGAAACAAACTCGGGGTGGTGGTGCTGCTGGTGGTGGGAGGGGGGTCAGAATCAGAATCCTAAATATTTCTATAGATTTCGATTTAAAGCTTTCGTGACTGCAGGGATTCATCTTCTTGGTTCTTTCGGTAAAGTCACGTAGAAGGGAAATAATACAATAATAAAAATAACACAATAAAATAATTCTCACGACGAACCAAGAAGATATTTCTACAGACTGAATGAATCCGATGAGCTACAAAGCCCCGTGCTTTTTTCCCCCACACAGATGTGGGTCGTGACCGCCGCCTCTCCCCAGCGGCGCCGGTTATCATCCAGCGAAACCTCCCTCCCCACCACCACCACCATCACCCACCCACCCACCACCCACCCACCATCTCCCGCAATAATCGGCACGCGCGTGGCCTCGCAACGCGATCCCCCACCACCCCCCAACCACCACCACCACGACCACGACTCCGTATCTCGAGACTCACGAGTGCGTGAAGGAGGAGGAGGCAGAAGACGCGTCCACCGTCGAATCCGCGAGTATTCTGAGCTGTGCTGGGCTGGCCATCGCTGCGCTCACCACACCATAGCAGTGGGCAGGCCGGGCGCGCACTCACTCACTCGCTCCCTCGCTCGCCCACACAGCGAACACCGATGAACCTGACCAAACTAATCTCTCTCTTCTCGATCACCGCGCGTAATCGCAACCGCGTGCAGCAGCAGCAGCAGTCCCGTCGGATGAACGCGCAGCGCACAGCTCTGGTGTCAGTCTGTCGTTCCCCCTCCTACCCGAGCGGGCGAGCCAGCCCAATGCTCCTGCGTGGATTTCCGCCCATTCGTAAGCTCCCCTTATTTTGGTTGACAAGGGGTAAGTGCGTGTGTGTGTGGGGAGGGGGGGGGGCATCTTAATATTATTTTTTTTCCCGTAAAAAAAAAAAACCCCTCCCACCAACAATCTCCAAGCCCCACTTCCCCCCGTACTTACTGGGCGTCCAAATAGTCGTCCGACTTCCTTCCTAAGCTCAGGCGTAGGCGGGCCGAGCCCGCGGGAGGCAGAGCCAGGACGATGCTGCCCAGGAGCGACGTGCCGCCGTTCCGAACGCCGCGCGAGCCGGCGTCCTCCATCAGGACGGTGGCAGCCGTGCGCATGGTCGTGGGGGGTGGCCCCCCACTCCACCACCAACTCCACCCCAACTCCACCCAACCCACTCACTCACTTAACCACTCCACCTGTGCCGCCGCACAGATGACAGGAGATCTGAGCGAGGGTTCTCGGACCGTCGGCTTCACGTGCGATGGAGAGCCATTGACGATCGTTCGCTCGGGGTAGCGGTGGTGTTCAGCAGCATATCCCGTTGCGGCTGAATCACCGTGGGATGGCACGCGCGTGGTCGCGTAAAGTGGAATAAGAACTTAACGAAGTTTCGCTGCTCTCAATCGCTTTCGTGGGAGATGGAAGAAAAAATTCCCACGGGCAGTGGCGTCGGCTCGGAGTGGAAATTCTCGCCGGTCCGCTTTGGGCGGCGGCGGCGCGAGCGAGCGACCGCCCGGTTCCTCGGCACGCGGAGAGGCGAGCGGAGGGCCCCAAAGTTCGCGGCCAAAATAATGACAGCTGCAAAAAAAGGGGGCTCGCTGCGGCAGCAGCCCCCCCCCCCCCACACAACCACCCACACACCCCCCACACCCACCCACCACTACCCCCACAACTTGTTGTGCCCGCCCCACGCTCATCAGCCCAGTGCCCTGCGCGTCGCCTCGGCTCAGCGTGACCTCTGGAAATTGATAGCAGTCAGCGGCGCGGTTGTGAACGGTGGTGGCAGTGGTGGTGGCGGTGGTGGTGGTGGCGGTGGTGGTGGTGGCGGTGGTGGTGATGGTGGCGGTAGTGGTGGTGGTGGCGGCGGTGGTGGTGATGGTGGCGGTGGTGGTGGCGGTGGTGATGGTGGTGGCGGCGGTGGTGGCTGTTTTCTGCATTACGGAGTTCGCGTTTTGTCAACCGGAATGTAATGACGACGGCAACAGCAGCGAGAGCAAAAAAACAAACGTCGCTCGGAACGAGATCCGCTGAGCAGCGGCATGCAGGGCTGTTGGTCGTCCGTTTTTAATCGCGACGGGACGGTGAGAGAAGAGGGGACGGGGAGAGAAAGAGAGGAGGGAGAGATCTGGCGAGAGCGGTCAGGAGGGGAGTGAGGGGGGGGAGACGGAGAGGGAGGGTCGGGCGAGGGAGCAGGGGGTGGTGGATCGTGCAATGTGGAGATCCAGAGATTCCAACGAGGGATCAGTTCACCCCCCACACCATACCAACCCCATCACCCCCCCCCCACACTGTCAACCCGACTCACTGCACTCTCCCTCCACCACCACCACCGTCCCCCACCCACCCACCCTCCTACAAAGACAAAGATCCCCCGTATAGCCTGCAACAGACTGTTAGGGCAAGTGCTGTTAGCGAGTTACAGCACCTATGAAGGCCGGCTACGGCACCACGATGGGGGGGGTGGGTGGCCAGCACCACGCCCGACCGCCTTTGTCTCCCCAGTGGCGATGTTCACACACCGCACCGGGTACTCATTTGAGGCCGAGTCGACCTAGGGGAGGCCGTGAACGGGAATCGAACTCGGTTCTCTGCTGGGTTCGGAGCGCAGAGTAGCGCTAACCGATATCTCGCCGCTCCCACCACCCCCCCTCCACCCAGTGCTGAATGAGGCTGGTGCCGGGGCCTGTAGCATGATGTCATCAAGGGTCCCTGAATTGAAAAAAACACGTAAATATTAAAACACGTAGTTTTTTACTTGCATAGCAAAGTAATTGTATTTTTCATTTTCTATACAGGCCAGATAATACGACAAATCGCTAACCTTAAACACCCGGTCGTTCGTAAAAGTCGAAGGCGGTATAGTACTATAGTAATAGAGCAAGTGCAGAATCACTGAACCGGAATTGATAGCTTGAAAGCATTTAGCGCGGGGCCCTTGAAAGTGCGGGGCCCGTAGCTACTACACGTGTAGCTACTACACGTGCAGCTACTACACATGCAGCTACTACATGTGCGGTAGCTACTACTTGTGTAGCTACTACACATGTAGCTACTACACATGTAGCTACCACATGTGTAGCTACTACACATGCAGCTACTACACATGTAGCTACTACACATACAGCTACTACACATGCAGCTACTACATATGTAGCTACTTTTGCTACGAGGATAATAGGGCACTGCCACCAGCGCACCACCACCACCTACCCCCCCCCCCCACCACCACCTACCCCCCCCACCACCACCACCACCGCACCACCACCACCTACAGTCCATCCCTCCCACAAAGTGCCTGGAATACCAAAGTCGTGACCCGCCTGTATACGGGGCACAAACGCACGCTGGAAACGCACGCTGGAAACGCGCGCGTCACTCATTTGCCCCGCCACTCCGGCCGGCTGACGCCGAGAGGTTAGAGTGGATCGAGGGAGCGAGGCTGTAATGTATTGAACGCATGTTGGACTTCTTTCGTACCGTACGTAAGCCGAAATGCTGATCCGAGGCACGGGGGGAGGAAGGGGCCGTCCATAAATGACGTCACGCGATTTTGGACGATTTTTGACCCCCCCCTTGTCACACGGCGTCACAAAAAGTCAGACCCCCCCTCAAATATGACGTCACAAAGCTCTGCCCCCCCACCCCCAAAATAAAACATGCTTCAAATCGCTTTAAACTATTGTCATTGTAGTGCGTATTTAATGTGGCGCTGCACTCTGATGTTGTAGGAGAAAACATTCATTAAAAAGTCTATTTAATTAAGTAGAACGTGTTGTCTATATTTATTTAAAGTTGCGCATTTTGATGTGACGTCACATTTCTCAAACCCCCCCCTCCCTCGTCACACATCGTCACAATATCTAACCCCCCCTAGGTGCGTGACGTCATTTATGGACGGCCCCAAAGACAACAAAATAAACAACAACAAAAGCAGTTCCAAAGAAATGTGTTTTCCATCTAGGTGATTTAAAAGTGCATAGCTCCCAGCGGTTTACTAATATCGCATGGAAGAGCGTTCCAGACGGCCGCAGAAATCACATCCGAAAGCGCACCACGCGGTGCGGTGACCGTACTTTGTTCGACGGCTTAACCAAAAAGCCACCGCCGCTACTGATGTTTGCTAGCCGCTGCTGCTGCTGCGAGGGTGACCGGCATGAAAGCCTCAACCCCCAAATTAACAACGTTGTGGGAGATGTTGGCTGTCCGTGGCCGCGCTGAGTCACGGAGCGAAGGGGAGCGGACGTGGAGGTGGGTGGGGGGGAAGAGCGCTTCGCACGAGAACGCAGCGAGAGACGCAAATAGCAAGCGGCACGTCGCGAACAATTTGTGGCGTTGCACACAAAGACAAAGATTCCCCCGTGTAGGCTTAACAGGCTGTTGGGGCAAGTGCTGTGAGCGAGTAGCACCTGTGAAGGCCGGAACGGTACAACGAGGGGGTGGGTTTGCCAGCACCACGCCCGACCGCCTTTGTCTCCCCAGTGGCGATGTTTACAACACCGCACCGGGTACTCCTTTGAGGCTGAGTCGACCTAGGGAAGGCCAGGACCGGTTCAGATAATCGTCACTGGTGGTGTTCATTCTAGATTTGAAGCTTTGGTGACTGCAAGGATTCATACTCTTAGGTTGTTTCGGTAAAGTCACGTAGGCAAAAATAATAATAAATAAAAATAATAGAAATAATTATTTTATTTGTATTATTATTTCTATTTTTTTTTATCTACGTGGCTTTACTGGTGGTCTTGGCCGTGAGCGGGAATCGAACCCGGGTAGCCGGGTTCGTAGCGCAGCGTAGCGCTAACCGCTAGACCACCGCTCCCCACCACACACACGCGCACACAGTAGGAGGGCAGTGGTATAGGCGGGCAGAAGAGTAGGGGGCGGGGGTGTGACCGGGCAGGGCAGTTACCTCCGTAAAATGACGACTGCATTTGTCACCCACTTCTCAGACGTCAACGCAGCATTTGGCTCGTTAGTCAATTGCCCGTGAGTTCATGGCCAAATGGTGCGGACTGTATTTTTGCTCACCACGGCTCTGTTTGAGTGGCTCACGGGGGCTGACACTGTTCAGAGCAATGAGTCGGGACGGCTGCGATGCTGGAGTTTGAAGCTGGGTTTCGGCCGCCCGTGGTTCATGAACAATAACAATCATGCCCTTTGTCTACCCAGCATAGCTTGACTGAGGCTCATAAAAATACACATTTTACTGGTAGAAACCTCCTTGTTACACCAGCCCATAGGGGATTATTGTGTCCGTCGTGCAGGGAGGGGAGGGTGGGGAGGGAGAGGCTGGGTGGGGAGGGGAGGGTGGGGAGGGTGGGGCTGGGAGGGTGGGGAGGGGCTGGGTGGGGAGGGTGGGGAGGGGCTGGGTGGGGAGGGTGGGGCTGGGTGGAAGTGGGAGGGGTGGGGCTGGGTGGGAAGGGGCTGGTCACCCCGTGGTGCCCTTATAAAACTCAACGTTTAACCTACTCACGCCGGCTTGTGCCCGCCCTCACAGTCGGGCATATTTGCGGAATACACCACGCCGCCGTGGGACCCTGGCCATTGACCGAGCAACCCAGCGTTCCTACCAGCTCCCTCCGCAGGAATGTGTTTGGCAGTAGGGAACGTCATTGGGATGTTTGTCCAATTGTATTAATGAAAGTTTGGCTCCATTTCGGCAGCAAACCAGAGTACCCAGAGGGTCTAACACCGAAGGTTCTGTGCGGTGGTGAGATGTTAACGACCTCGCCTGGTATACAAGGAGGTCGTGGGTTCGATGCCAAACCAGACGTCTGTATTTTTGGAGTTTGCATGCTCTCTCCATGGTCGCGTGGAATTTTTCTCTGGGTCCTCTGGGTTTCCCCCTCCACATTTAGTTGTTTTGGCTGCTAAAAATGCCAACACGATGATAAGCCACTTCGTGGAGCAATCATTTGTGATGGACACACAGCTCAGTGGCGGCCTTACTTGGTTGGCTTAAAAAATTGTTACTAAAATAAAATCCACTTGCCGCAATTGCCATCATACTCACCGCCCTGCGGGGTTATCAAGTGTGGCGAGTTACAGTAAATATGAATTTGGCAAGAGGGCAGTCGTTTTACACGATACGAAATAAAAACGTGAGCTCGATTGACGTGCGGTTGTACACTCTCTGCAGATTATGCAACAGGCGTGGGCCTGAGTGTGGGTGCAGGCCTCATCAAGTAGTAACCTCAGAAGCAACCCTGTGGCATCATCATCATCTTCTTACAGTTAGGTGTTTTCGGTAAAGTCACGTAGGTAAAAATAAAAATGATAATAGAAATAAAATAATAAATCACGACGTTTCGGAGGCAACACAAGTCTCCGTCATCAGATGGGACCGTCACAGCTAAATTTACTGTATCAAGTGAGGAAAAAATCCAAGAGGCAAGCTCTTAAATACAAGTTAAGTGGGAGGGGGCTTATCTGAATGTGAATGGAACAGTGGGGGAGCGGAGCTTGGAGTTGCGGCCGATTGTTGGCTGACAACTAAAAAATACAAAAAAGCAGCACTGTTAAACACTCGGTAAAGTAGAATAGTACCTGTCAAATAATACGGTACAAACATGTGTAGTTAAATCTTTTTCACATAGTTAATAACATCTTTCTAATGATTACTCAGTTTGTACCCATCATCCCGGTTGAAGTGATGTCTGTGTTTGTATATCTGGATGGCCTCGTGCACAAACCTTTCATGGTAGCCAGAAGGTTTGCAGAGCACCTTGGTCTCGGAAAAAACAATATCATGAGAAGCTTCAAATCTAGAATCTTCTTACAGGGCTGCTCGTTGCCACAGGGTGGTGCACTGCTTACTCACCAGGATTTCCAATCGGAGTATCTACATCTAACGATGAAGAAATGAAAGAGGTTGTTTTTTCGTCGTTGTTTTGACTCGACGTGCCCCACCAAGACTGATGCTAACAGCTGTAGAATGTTATTGGGATGCGGAATATGAATGGATTTGTTGTGTTTGTTTAAAATATCAACTCGGAGCAAGCTGAACCCTGCGCCGTATGTCACCGCTGATCAAGGTCAAGAAGCCATCATTGGGCGAAGCTGCTGATGCCAACGCATGGAACTAGATGATGTTTAACGCGGATTTCAGACGCTCTTCAACGCAGCGCTGAGCTGAAACGACGACACCATTATATATACGGGGTGGTATTTCTTGTGATCTCTCATTTACTTGATACAGCTGTCGTGGCTGTGACGGTTCCACCTGAACACGGAGGCTTGTGTTGCTTCCGAAACGTCGTGATTTTTATTTTGTTTTATTTTACTTTTATTAATTTACATTTTTTACCTACGTGACTTTACCGAAAAAACCTAAGAATATGAATCCTTGCAGTCACGAAAGCTTGAAATCTAGATATGATTGAGATTGTTTTTTTTGGGTCAGATCGCATCCTGAGTACAATGTGTATTGTACACCCTCAGCCACCTGACACGGCCAGTTATTTTTTGAAAGTTTACTTTTGTTTTACCAGGTAAGGCTCACTGAGCTATTTAGCTCTTTTTCAGAAGCGGCCTGACCACAAATGATGGCTCAACGAGTTGGCTTATCATCACGTAGGGAATGTATAGCAGCCAAATAGTCTAAATGCACGTTGATTCTAAATGTGGAGGGGAAAATTGGAGTAACCGGAGAGAGAGACACGCAAACTCCAAATATACAGCAGCAGGCGTCAGGGTTGGATCGAACCCACGACCTCCTGGATACCGGGCGAGGTAGTTAACATCTCCTAGCCACCGTGATGATGATGAGAGAGACACGCAAACTCCAAATATACAGCGGGAGGTGTCAGGGTTGGGATCGAACCCACGACCTCCTGGATACCCAGCGAGGTAGTTAACATCTCGCCACCGTGGCACCCTAATGAGGTTAATCAAGTTGTTACGTGCCGAGCAAATGTGGCCAATTTATTACAGCTTCAGCAGCACCATCGGTTTCCAGAAGTGTGAAAACATCCTTCAGTCTTGAGCCTTAAATAGGTGGCGTGATGGCGTGGTCATTTCGCACTTGCACACGTGACATTTTAATTTGTTTGGCCGTGTCAGGTGGTGGAGGGCTCTCAAGGAGATGAACATTTGGTCAGATCATCACGCGGCCTAACCCAAAAAGATCACTTACGAATCAAATGTGGTCGAGCATTTGAGCAAAAGGGAATGTTAAAAGTCATGCAATTTGTCAGCTGCTGTGGAGTTATGCTGGGATAACCGGCTGTGATGTGTGGAATTGGATAATTATGTCTTTTAAAAATTTGGCAGCACAACTTTTTTCTCTTGTATGTAAGGGAAAAAAAATCCACGAGTTATTAATTTGTCAATATCTCAGTTAATCTGCAAATCAGATACATCGCATGCTGATATTCGTGTCTGCTGTACATTAACATTCTTTTTTCTGTGTCACCTTTGATCCCAATCGCAGTTATGGCAACGGGTTACTTATTTATATATAATTCAACTTAACATTTCTTTTTTACAAATTAACAGCACTCGCTTTAATAAACAAAATATTAACGTGCATTGGAAACTAAAGGGATTCCGCGTGTTTCTCACAATCGTGGGTGAGTGCTGCCACCTTCTGGCCTAACCAACTTACTGGCAAAGTTGTCACTAAACTACATTACTGGTAGGAACCTCCTGGTTACACCAGCCCACAGGGGATTATTGTGTCCGTCCGTCGTGCAGGGAGGGGCTGGCTGGGGAGGGGCTGGGTGGGGAGGGGAGGGTGGGTGGGGGGTGGGGCTAGGTGGGGGGGGGCTGGGTGGGGGCTGGGTGGGGAGGGGCTGGTCACCCTGTGGTGCCCTTATAAAACTCAACGTTTAACCTACTCACGCCGGCTTGTGCCTGTCCTCACAGTCGGGCATATTTGCGGAATATACCACGCCGCCGTTGACCCTGGCCATTGACCGAGCAGCCCAACGTTTCTACCAGCTCCCTCCACAGGACTGTGTTGCATAGATACGCGTAGGGAATGGTAGATTTATATTTAAGACAAGACACAGTAGTGCAATTGTGGTCATATGATCAAAACCATGGGCTATAGAATATATCCATACAGACGCATACGAGACTCATTGAGATACAGAGACCCACATATACACAGGGACCCAATAAAATACATAGCCACTCGTAAGAGACCCATGTAGATACACAAATTACTTCTTTCGCACCGTACGTAGCCAACCGTGCTACACTACAGGCACGCACAAAGACAAAGATCCCCCGTGTAGCCTTAACAGACTGTAGGGGCAAGTGCTGTTTGCGAGCACCTATGAAGGCCGGAACGGTACACGAGGGGGTGGGTGGCCAGCACGACGCCCGACCGCCTTTGTCTCCCTCGTGGCGACGTTTACACACCGCACAAGGTACTCATTTGAGGCTGAGTCGACCTAGGGGAGGCCCAGGACCGGTTCAAATGATCTTCAACTTGTGTTGGCCGTGAGCGGGAATCGAACTCGGGTCGCCAGGTTCGTAGTGCAGCGAAGCGCTAACTGCTACACCACCGCTCCCCATCACACACACAGACACACACAGATACACTGACACACACAGACACACAGATACACTGACATACACAAACACACAGATACACTGACACACACAGACACACTGACACACAGACAGACATACTGACACACTGACACACACAGACATACTGATACACACAGACACACACACAGACACACCAGACACATACACACTGACTCACTGACACAGAAATACTGACACACAGACGCACACTCTGACACACAGACACACACTGACACACTAACACAGACACACGCTGACTCACAGACACATACACACTAACACACAGACACACTAACACACAACAACAACCGCCATTCGCCACTAAGTGGCGTTGACGTCACCACGACGCTTGTGCCAGGCCATGTGCACCTTGAGGCTACCACGTGAAGTGTCGAACGCCCGCTGGCGGGAGGTCACGGGGCAGACCCAGCAGGTGCCACGGGTCGACTGACCGAGATGAGTGGCTGATGCACCACCTGTGCCCCCCACTGTGCCAACTTGCTGTGCTTTAGCCACCCGGCACACAGACGCACACACAGACACACACACAGACACACACACACACAGACACACGCACAGACACACACACAGATACACAGACACACACAGACACACACACAGACACACGCACAGACACACGCACAGACACACACACAGATACACAGACACACACACAGACACACACACAGACACACACACAGACACATACACACACAGACACACGCACAGACACACGCACAGACACACACACAGACACACACACACAGACACACACAGACACACGCACAGACACACAGACACACGCACAGACACACACACAGATACACAGACACACACAGACACACGCACAGACACACGCACAGACACACACACAGATACACAGACACACACAGACACACGTGGGTGAGTTCCCTACAGACGCCACCAACCCCCACCACCAAAGCTATTCACCGCGTAACGTTATTCACAGACGACGGTTGGTGGTTGTTGTTCGTGGTTGATGGTTGTTGTTGGTGATTATTAGTGGTGGTTGTTGTTCGTGGTTTATGGTTATTGCTGTTGTTGTTGGTGATTGTTGTTGGTTGTTATTAGTGGTGGTTGTTGTTGTTCGTGGTTGATGGTTATTGTTGGTGATTGTTGTTGGTTATTATTAGTTGTGGTTGATGCTGTTGGTTGTTGTTGGTTGTTGGTGATTGTTGTTGGTGGTTATTAGTTGTGGTTGTTGTTGTTCGTGGTTGATGGTTATTATTGTTGTTGGTGATTGTCGTTGGTGGGTTGTTGTAGTAAGTGGTGGTGGTGGTTACTGCTAGTGGTGGCGGTTGGTAGTGGTAGTTGTTAGTTGTTGGTGGTGGTTGGTCGTTGTCGTTGACTGTTGGTGATTGGTGCAAGTTTGTAGGTGGTGGTGGGGGGGGGGTGGTGGGGGGGGAGGTGGTTGCCCGTTGCCATAGCGACTCGCCCGTGAACACAACCCAGTCGCATGCAACAACCCCCACCACGCACAACCCCCTCAGGCCGACCGCCTCTGCTGCCGTTGCCTAGGCCACGGCTGATACAACAACGCTCACTTCAACCACAACCACCACCACCACCACAACCACCACCACCACCACTACCACGGCTCCTGCGGAAGAAGTTGTTCAGGTGGGAAGCTGCTTGCTGATGCTGGCTACTCGCTAACAGCACTTGCCCCTAATAGTCTGTAAGGCTGTATGGGGGATCTTTGTCTTTGTGTGTGCTACTCGCTAACAGCACTTGCCCTAACAGTCTGTAAGACTGTAGGGGGATCTTTGTCTTTGTGTGTGCTACTCGCTAACAGCACTTGCCCTAACAGTCTGTAAGACTGTAGGGGGATCTTTGTCTTTGTGTGTGCTACTCGCTAACAGCACTTGCCCTAACAGTCTGTAAGACTGTAGGGGGATCTTTGTCTTTGTGTGTGTTACTCGCTAACAGCACTTGCCCTAACAGTCTGTAAGGCTGCATGGGGGATCTTTGTCTTTGTGTGTGTTACTCGCTAACAGCACTTGCCCCTAATAGTATGTAAGGCTGTATGGGGGATCTTTGTCTTTGTGTGTGCTACTCGCTCACAGCACTTGCCCTAACAGTCTGTAAGACTGTAGGGGGATCTTTGTCTTTGTGTGTGTTACTCGCTACCAGCACTTGCCCCCACAGTCTAACTAAGACTCTACATCAGCCCTAGCTAAGACTCTACATCAGCCCTAGCTAGAACTCTACATTAGCCCTAGCTAAGACTCTACATCAGCCCTAGCTAAGACTCTACATTAGCCCTAGCTAAGACTCTACATTAGCCCTAGCTAAGACTCTACATCAGCCCTAACTAAGACTCTACATCAGCCCTAGCTAAGACTCTACATTAGCCCTAGCTAAGACTCTACATCAGCCCTAGCTAAGACTCTACATTAGCCCTAGCTAAGACTCTACATTAGCCCTAGCTAAGACTCTACATCAGCCCTAGCTAAGACTCTACATTAGCCCTAGCTAAGACTCTACATCAGCCCTAGCTAAGACTCTACATTAGCCCTAGCTAGAACTCTACATTAGCCCTAGCTAAGACTCTACATCAGCCCTAGCTAAGACTCTACATTAGCCCTAGCTAAGACTCTACATTAGCCCTAGCTAAGACTCTACATCAGCCCTAGCTAAGCCTCTACATTAGCCCTAGCTAAGACTCTACATTAGCCCTAGCTAAGACTCTATATCAGCCCTAGCTAAGACTCTATATCAGCCCTAGCTAAGACTCTACATTAGCCCTAGCTAAGACTCTACATTAGCCCTAGCTAAGACTCTACATTAGCCCTAGCTAAGACTCTATATCAGCCCTAGCTAAGACTCTATATCAGCCCTAGCTAAGACTCTACATTAGCCCTAGCTAAGACTCTACATTAGCCCTAGCTAAGACTCTACATTAGCCCTAGCTAAGACTCTATATCAGCCCTAGCTAAGACTCTATATCAGCCCTAGCTAAGACTCTACATTAGCCCTAGCTAAGACTCTACATTAGCCCTAGCTAAGACTCTACATTAGCCCTAGCTAAGACTCTATATCAGCCCTAGCTAAGACTCTATATCAGCCCTAGCTAAGACTCTACATTAGCCCTAGCTAAGCCTCTACATTAGCCCTAGCTAAGCCTCTACATTAGCCCTAGCTAAGACTCTATATCAGCCCTAGCTAAGACTCTATATCAGCCCTAGCTAAGACTCTACATTAGCCCTAGCTAAGACTCTACATTAGCCCTAGCTAAGACTCTACATTAGCCCTAGCTAAGACTCTATATCAGCCCTAGCTAAGACTCTACATTAGCCCTAGCTAAGACTCTACATCAGCCCTAGCTAAGACTCTACATTAGCCCTAGCTAAGACTCTATATCAGCCCTAGCTAAGACTCTACATTAGCCCTAGCTAAGACTCTACATTAGCCCTAGCTAAGACTCTACATTAGCCCTAGCTAAGACTCTACATTAACCCTAGCTAAGACTCTACATTAGCTCTAGCTAAGACTCTACATCAGCCCTAGCTAAGACTTTACATTAGCCCTAGCTACGACTCTACATCAGCCCTAGCTAAGACTCTACATTAGCCCTAGCTAAGACTCTACATCAGCCCTAGCTAAGACTCTACATTAGCCCTAGCTAAGACTCTACATTAGCCCTAGCTAAGACTCTACATTAGCCCTAGCTAAGACTCTACATTAACCCTAGCTAAGACTCTACATTAGCTCTAGCTAAGACTCTACATCAGCCCTAGCTAAGACTTTACATTAGCCCTAGCTACGACTCTACATCAGCCCTAGCTAAGACTCTACATTAGCCCTAGCTAAGACTCTACATCAGCCCTAGCTAAGACTCTACATTAGCCCTAGCTAAGACTCTATATCAGCCCTAGCTAAGACTCTACATTAGCCCTAGCTAAGACTCTACATCAGCCCTAGTTAAGACTCTACATTAGCCCTAGCTAAGACTCTACATTAGCCCTAGCTAAGACTCTACATTAGCCCTAGCTAAGACTCTACATTAACCCTAGCTAAGACTCTACATTAGCTCTAGCTAAGACTCTACATCAGCCCTAGCTAAGACTTTACATTAGCCCTAGCTACGACTCTACATCAGCCCTAGCTAAGACTCTACATTAGCCCTAGCTAAGACTCTACATCAGCCCTAGCTAAGACTCTACATTAGCCCTAGCTAAGACTCTACATTAGCCCTAGCTAAGACTCTACATCAGCCCTAGCTAAGACTCTACATCAGCCCTAGCTAAGACTCTACACCAGCCCTAGCTAAGACTCTACATCAGCCCTAGCTAAGACTCTTCATTAGCCCTAGCTAAGACTCTACATCAGCCCTAGCTAAGACTCTACATTAGCCCTAGCTAAGACTCTACATTAGCCCTAGCTAAGACTCTACATTAGCCCTAGCTAAGACTCTACATTAACCCTAGCTAAGACTCTACATTAGCTCTAGCTAAGACTCTACATCAGCCCTAGCTAAGACTTTACATTAGCCCTAGCTACGACTCTACATCAGCCCTAGCTAAGACTCTACATTAGCCCTAGCTAAGACTCTACATCAGCCCTAGCTAAGACTCTACATTAGCCCTAGCTAAGACTCTAGCCCTAGCTAAGACTCTACATCAGCCCTAGCTAAGACTCTACATCAGCCCTAGCTAAGACTCTACACCAGCCCTAGCTAAGACTCTACATCAGCCCTAGCTAAGACTCTACATCAGCCCTAGCTAAGACTCTACACCAGCCCTAGCTAAGACTCTACATCAGCCCTAGCTAAGACTCTACATCAGCCCTAGCTAAGACTCTACACCAGGGGTGGGCAAACTTTTTCACTCGAGGTCCACAATGGGTTCTAAAATTTGACAGAGGGGCCTGGTCAGGAACAGATGGATGGAGTGTTTGTGTGAACTAATATAAATGAATTACACAAAGTGCGCCATCTAATTGGGAAATGGGGGCATTATAGGAGGAAGGTAAAATTTAATTTAATAATAATATTTGGACAAGTTCGGCGTGCCGGATTAAAAAGCCCAACGGGTCGTATACGGCCCGCGGGCCGTACTTTGCCATGTCTGCTCTACACTCTACATTAGCGCGCGTGCCAGGCTAGGTGCACCTTGACGCCAGGCACCCTGGAGCGCGTTCGTAAGTCGCACTTTGTTGTTGTTGTTGTTTGTTTGTCAATGTTTTGAAAGACATCAACCGGTCGACAACACCCCCCACCGCCCCGAAACAAGCACGTAAGGCGAGTACGATGGAGGACAGCTCCGGCGACGCCCGCCTGGCCTTCCTCGAGGCGTACACCCTCAAGACGTTCCGCATCAAGGCGGACCGGTGGCAGAAGTGCGTGGCCGTCGAGGACTGCCGGCGTCTCCTGCTCGATTTCCTCGACAACCGAGGAGCCGACCACTCGCCCCTGCTGGTCATCTCGCTCACGCCCGCGGGGCTTCTGCAGCCCTCGTTGGGCTTCCCACCGCCGTCGGGGGCAGCGGCCAAGACGGCTGGGGCCAGCAGCGCGGCGAAAGCGGTCTTTTTCGCCAAGAAGTCGGCGGACACGTCCGGTGGCGGTGGTGGTGGTGGCGGTGGCTTCCCACCCATCTCCGCCGAGACGATCCGCAAGGCGCTGCTGTGCGGAGACCTCAGCTACGCGCCCCTGGAGCAGTTTGCCGCCCTGGTGGAGGAGGTGAGGGGCGAAACGTCGTCCGCTACGTCCGCTCCGCGCGGATCGTTCGGCGTCGATTGTGGTTTTTTTGTGTTACTTGCGGGTTTAGTTTTCGCGTCGCTGTTAACTCCTTTATCAGTAAACATCCCCCTCTACCCACCAATTCAGACCCGGTTGGTCACCCCCCATGCCCCTTTAAACATCGCAACGTTCATCCTGCAAAGTGCCCATCACAAGCGAGAATCACAAATATTATTATTTTTTGCCATATTGAAACGGCTGTAGTACTCCGTATGGATCTAGAAACTGAATTTCCCTGTACAAGAATGCGGGTAAACCATGTGGCTTGACAGGTTTGAGTTCGACGGTTAAAGCCCCCCTCCCCATCTCTCTTACCACCCCCCCCCCCCCACGGCATGACACCTTACCCCGTATTCTTGTACAGGGAAATTGAGTTTCAGGTCCATACGGAGTACAGCCGTGTCATGATGGGACTTTGTAGGATTAATGCTGAGATTTATAGGGGACACGGGGCGACCAATTATGTCTGAATTGGTCTGTAATAAGATAGGCACTGATAAGGGGTTGACAGGTTTGATATACACTACACTATGCACTACGCTACTATACACAATATACTACCATACCGTGTCAACCCACACGGTTTACCCCGTAGTCTTGTACAGGGGAATTGAGCCGTCAGTTCCATACGGCGTACAGCCGTTTCAATACGGGCAAAAAAATAAGAATTGTGTCTATTTGTTTGTGTTTCTCCCTTGTGATGGGACTTTGTAGGATGAACGTTAAGATGTATAAGGGGCACGGGGTGACCAATAAGGTCTGGTTTGGTCTGTAATAAGGTAGGGGCACTGATAAGGGCTTGACAGGTATGCGTAACGAGGGTAAATAACAACAAAAAAGTTAACGAGGTAGTCTGGGGGTGTGGTTATAACTTCCCGAGGGCCTGTCGGTGTTTTTTTTGTTCCACTGAAAGTTGGCGGAGTCCGCTTACTGGTTGCCTTGGACCACCCTCACCGCCGAATTCATTCTGTGGCGGTATTTGGGGAGAGGTCCCCGGGTGAAGGTGGCAGCACCTTGAATGTGCCTATCGCTCCAACGTCACCGCCAGCCGAAAGACGTCCGCGCCTCTGATTAGTACGGTGCGAAAGAAGTTCAACGCGGTACTAACTGGAGAAGCCACTGTAGCTACTCCGAAGCCGCTGGAGATATTAGGAAGCGAATGGAGTTATGCACTTTTAAATCAAGATTGAAAACGAATTTCTTTAGAGCTGCTTTTTGTGTTCCGTTTGTTATCCTTCCCCCCGCACGTCTGAGGAGCACGGTTGGCTACGTATGGTGCGAAAGAAGTTCAACATACGCACACACCAGAGCAGTGGTGGCCAATACCCGGATCGCGAACCACGATCCACAGAAAGATTTGTGTGGCTCTCAGGACAAATCGGGACGAAAAAGCTAACTTAATCAGACAGTTATCGTCACGGCTGGTTAACAAATATAAATTAAATCCCGGACTAAGAATGGATACGTGAAAAACAACAATACATACAAAAAGCGCGATCGAGGCCGCCCACGCTGCCGGAGGACAGGGTAGGAAGGAAGGCCTTGGTGGAGTTGCTGCCCCCGTGACCCAATTCAGTTCAGAAAAGCGGACCGATTTTGATTGATTGATTGCGTACAAATACCATTGGAACCTCATTTGCCAGTAAAAAATATGATAATTGGTTTTTTACCCTTTTATCTGGCAACAAAACTGACACCTTTTTTTTACAAGGAGTCATGTTTGCATAGACCACAATACCTGCAGTCATAATGTTAACAAAAAACATAACTCTGATAATATATGCACTGTTCTTGAAGTTGATTGGTCCACACCCGAGACAGCTTTCCTTAGAACCTAGTCTCACATGGGTTGGACCAGATAGAAGGGTAAAAAACCAATTATCATGCGTACAAATAGATTGTGCGAGTACTTTATGTCTATACCCTGCTGTTATAGTGGTGATTGTTGGTCAATTAGATCTCACCAGAATGGGTCACAGTGCTTGGTGTATTGGCCAGCAATGCACTCGAATGACCTCTGGAGAGGGCCCTGCAGATGGCATTTAATATCACGGTTTAAAAAAAAAATGTGGTAAGGTTTTTGCTGTCCTCTGCCGAACATTATCTCCTGCAGGTATTTTGTCCGCTCTTCCACACTGGCAGTGTACATTACGTGGAAAGCACACGGAAAATCATGGAATTGTCTTAGCCGTGTCGGATTTCTCTGACATGTAGGTAAGGGTTTAGAATTTCAGAATGGCCTCAGTGGAGTTCGTAATAATAGCCGTGTCAGAGACACTAAAAATGCGAGAATCTGGGTTTTATTCACTTGAGATTGATCAAGTTTCTTAAGCGGAGTGAGGTGATAGTCTTAGTTGGTTCACCAATGTGAAGAAATAAGTGTTATAGGTAGACTATAAAAACTAAAATTTTTTTTTTATAAAAAAAAACATTCACCAGGTAAGGCGCAATGAGCTAAATAACTTTTTTTCAGAAGCGACATGACTATCGTTAATTGATAGTTCAACGAAGTGGCTTATCGCGTGGACTTTTTATAGCAGCCAAACATTCTAAACGCACGTTGATTCGAAATGTGGAGGGAAAAACCCAAGGACCCGGAGAAAAATTGCCGTGACCACGGGGAGAGAGACACGCAAACTCCATATATATTTTATTTTATACCTACATGACTTTACCGAAAAAAACCAAAGACTATCCATATATACTGGTGTCAAGGCGAGGTAGTTAACATCTTGCCTGGATAGTTCAGTGGATTTCATAGTGGCCGTAACCAGAGACAATCTTTGTTTCAGCCATGAGGCGGTGTTCTCAAGTAAAGTGAGTTTGATGGCTCTCGCTGGGTCATCAGTGCAAACCATCATCACATTAACATTGGTTTGCTGACTTAATTAGGCTCACTCACACCTTAAATGTGTTTTATTGACGCCGTACAACATCAGCATTGTAGATCAAACGTGTTGCTCTTTATTTTTAAGTTCAGCTTTTTACAATCTGTTGTCTGTCTCTTGAGTTCATCATGTTGTTTCCGGTTAGCCTTCAATAACTTCCCTCGGTAAACATAGTCCTGTTATAAAGGACCGTGTGGCAAACTCCGTTGTTGTACCTTACTTCTGTGCTCCCATGTCTGTCTACGCTCCCCGCTTGGTGAAGTATGGTCACACGGCAAGCGCAGGCCCTCATCCTGCAGTGGATTTTGCATTAACGTCTGTACGTGTGAACGTGGGAGAAATGTGCAACAGCTTATGTAAAGAGATAGAATTGTGTGACCGTCAGCCCAATGTCTGCAGCTGTAGCCATTAGCTGCGTGGGTGTCACATGTCATTAAAATAGTAATGCACATTTACATATGAATCAGCTCTATCAGCCCAATTGTTTCGTCTGCCACCAGTAACACTTTTGATGCATCGTATTAACTTACTGGCTACATTATTTGTGCAAATGGTCCCTTTGATGGACATACAGCCGTATTGAATGGCTAAAGTATTAAGTTGGCACCCACAAAGTTTGCCAGTTTGGCAAACGCACAGAACCATTTCTTTTTCCCCTGCGTGTCTCCATCCGTTCACCGAATCAACATCTTCCTATTGGCTCGACGATACATTTGTTAGAGTATACCCCCTCCACCACCCCCAAACCTGGTTCTCCACCCTTGTGACTGTGACCGTGTTTTGTGGCGGCGAAGCGAGAGGCTAGCTTTCGGGTTGAGCCGCGCGTTGTCAGGGCACGGCGGTCCGGCGTTTGCCTCCGCGCGCTGGTTCTTTCCTCGTTCGATCTACTGAAGCTCCCCAGCGAGTGGCAACGAACCGTTCGGACCTCGTGCCGGAGAGGCTTAACGGCGGCGCAACCGCGACAACCGGATCCCCAGGAGTAAATCTCCGACGTCGGCGCGCAGGTGATCGTGCCGATCCTGGGCAACGAGAAAAATCACGGAGGGTGGCCAGCGGTGGTGGCGCAGGACCTGCGGCGGCACCTGGGCAGCCTGCAGAGCAGCGTGTTCGTCGTGTCGGGGCAGGTCAAGGGCAAGACGCTGCTGCCCATCCCGGCCGGTGCCGAGCGTGTGGTTGACGCTGACCGTCCGCTCAAAGAGTGAGTTTCGGATAAAAGCAAAACAGCAACGGCGCTCGCTTAAGTAATGCCCGAGCAACTCAGAGTGGCACGCGTCACGTCTCAAGCGTTCCAGTGCCCTGCTTTTTGGACTTTAGTTTGTTGTCTTTCCACGCACCTCCGATTGAGCACGGTTGGCTATGTGCGGTGCGAAAAAAGTTCAACATACATACATACGACTGTACACTGCATTACTATACACTACTGCAGACTCCGATTAGTACGGTTGGTTACGTACGGTCCGAAAGAAGTTTAACGTGCGCACGTACATACGGGTGAGTCAGCGGTAGAGCAATCCTGGTTGGGGGTTTGACTCAGCCAATCATCCTTCTGGGGTCGATAAAGTGAGTGCCGCTTTGTGGGGAAGTCAAAAGTGATTATCTAATGGATGGACTGGCTCCCGTCATAGGAATGTGCTCACAGGGCTGTGAGAAGGAGAAGTGAGCACCAATGCCTCATTTGAGCAGCATATCACTTTGGCTTGACTAACTTGAGGCCCTTATACCCTGTTCAGTTCCAGGTTCAACGCCTCCCTCCGTCGGTCAGAGCGTTGAGGCTGAGATGCTGGGTTTTGAACACAACGTGATTAAAGCGCTTTTTTCAAAGTGCAGCCGGGAATATTGGCTCGGCTTGGTCACCGACGATTGCATAGAAAAGAACCTCATCATATTGAAGTGGTCTTTTTCACTTAATTACGGATAGATTTCACCACTGATAATTAAAACATATTCTGTTTGACGGCCGCAACGTTGTTGGAAAATTAGCAGGCCGTATGTGTTGGCGTCACGATCCATATTTTTCCAACCATGAAAAGTACTGCACTTGCAAATGTATTATTAACATGATGCCAAATAGTAACATTACCCCCTCCCAGTGCCACGTTATCCTAGTAGCAAAAGTAGCAAATGCTACGGGCCCCGCACTTTCAAGGGCCTCGCGCTAAATGATTTCAAGCTATCAACTCTGGTTCAGTGATTCTGCACTTGCTCTATTACTATAGTACTATAACGCCGTTAACTTTATGAACGACCGGGTGTTTAAGGTGAGCGATTTGTCGTATTATCCAGCTGTATAGCAAATGAAAAATACAATTACTTTACTGTGCAAGTAAAAAATGTACGTGTTTTAATATTTACGTGTTTTTTTAATTTACGGCCCCTTTATAACATATGCTACAGGCCCCGCACTAGGTTAATCCGGCACTGCCCCCTCCTGTGCAACGACCGCAGAATGTAAACTCCAGTGAAACATAACTCCCTTTGCGTTAGCCTTGCTAGCCATTCCCCATTCATTCAATCCATTCATCATCATCATCGTCATCATTTACCGTCATCAATTTTGCTTTAACCGATTTCACGCATCATCACAGATTCACCCATTGTTCCCTCTCATCTATTTCATTCACCATTACATTCATATGCTGTTGTACCGCTGTTAATTCTTCGTAAAGCGCCTTGTTTAAGGCGCCATATTAATTCCGTTAAGCTACGATAAGAATGGCGCGAACACCAAGCGCGCTGAACGATTGCCATTTGTTGAGCCTTAGCCAGCCAAGTTTGTAAAAAAAATCACACGGCGGGTCATGGGCGGTGCCGCGTGCGCAGTGAGGACAGCGTGGACCGCTCGGTGGTGCACGCCATCGAGTCGGTGGTCATCGAGTGGAGCCACCAGATCCAGGAGGTGCTGAAGAAGGACTCATCCAGGCCTCTGATGGAGGGACTCAACCCCAACCCCAGCGCCGAGCTGGAGTTCTGGCAAAGCAGGCGAGTGCAGCGCTCACCGCGTGATTGCTAGCGAATGCAAAGGGGTGAAGGAGCCGCCCTGCAATTCCCTGCTTATGCCACTGCTGCCGGAAGGGTAGAGGTCGCAACTGGGTACCCGATACCCGTACCCTACCCGATACCCGGCTACCTGTACCCGGCCGGGTACGGGTACGGGTAGCCGTTTGCGACCCTGGTGCGGCCGGGTACGGGTACGGGTAAGGAATCAAAACCCGTTTGCGACCTCTGCGGAAGGGCCTCCACAACCGCGAAAAAACCTTCATGGTAAAATGAACGTCCGCTTGCCGACTGCACTCCACCAGATACGCGGACTTGGAGTGCATCCACGAGCAGCTGCAGTCCCGGCGCGTGTGCTCCATGGGCGACCTCTTGGAGAAGACACAGAGCACCTACTTCCCGGCCTTCAAGGCCATGATACAGGACGTGGTCACAGGTGGGAGCCCTGGGTTACATGTCGCCGCGGTGGCGAGATGTTAACTACCTCGCCTGTTATACAGGAGGTCGTGGGTTTGATCCCGACTCTGATTTCTGTTGTGTATTTGAAGTTTGCTGTCTCTCTCTCTCCGTGGTCACGTGGATTTTTCTTGGGGTCCTCCGGTTTTCCTTCCATATTTAAAATCAATGTGTTTCGAGTATTTGGCTGCTATAAATGTCTACATGATGATAAGCCATCTTCTTGGTTCTTTCGGTAAAGTCACGTAGAAGGGAAACAATGAAATAATAAAAATAAACATAATAAAATACAATTCTCACGACGTTTCGGCCACAACGCAAGCAGCTGTCCTCAGGTGAAGACCAGGTCTGTCCGGGAGTCATTCAGACGCTGTCTCCCCGACAGACCTGGTCTTCACCTGAGGACGGCTGCTTGCGTTGTGGCCGAAACGTCGTGAGAATTATTTTATTATGTTTTATTTTTATTATTTTATTACTTCCCTTCTACGTGACTTTACCGAAAGAACCAAGAAGATGAATCCCTGCAGTCACGAAAGCTTTAAAATCATTTTATTATGTTTTATTTTTATTATTTTATTATTTCCCTTCTACGTGACTTTACCGAAAGAACCAAGAAGATGAATCCCTGCAGTCACGAAAGCTTTAAATCGAGATGATAAGCCACTTCGTTGAGCTATAATTTGTTACGGCCAGGTCGCTGGGCCTTACGTGGTAAAATAAAAAAGACAGTTTATCGTTTTGAAAGTTTTCCTCTCCTCCTGCCCACAGCCCTGGAGGAGGCGCGCAACATCAACAGCAACCTGAAGCCACTGAAGCGCACGATGGAGGACGTGGAGGGTGCCGAGCTGAACGAGGCCGGACCGCTGCTGGCTCCGCTGATGCGCGTCGTCGCCCTCGTGTGGCGCAACTCGCGTTTCTACCGAACGCCCGAGCGCATCGTGGTGCTGCTGCAGGAGATTTGCAACCTCCTCATCCAGCAGGTGGGGCGTGGGGACGTGGGGCATGACCCTTCCCACAACCCCCCACCTCTCCACCGCGGATATTACTGCGTTCCTTCAGGGGAGGCAACGGTTTGTTTCCGCCGGCGAACGTTTGCTGCGTTAGGCTTCATGGGTGTAGGGGTTGATCTTCTTGGCTCTTTCGGTAAAGTCACGTAGAAGGGAAATATTAAAGTAATAAAAATAAAACGTAATGAAATACAGACAGACCTGTTTTTCACCTGAGGACGGCTGCTTGCGTTGTGGCCGAAACGTCGTGAGAATTATTTTATTATGTTTTATTTTATTATTTTATTATTTCCCTTCTACGTGACTTTACCGAAAGAACCAAGAAGATGAATCCCTGCAGTCACGAAAGCTTTAAATCGAAATTTAGGGTAGGGGTTGGTTTTGGGGCGCCATGGTGGCGAGATGTTAACCACCTCGCCTGGCATGCAAGGAGGTCGCGGGCTCCATCCAGACCCTGACGCCTGCTGTATATTTGAAGTTTGCGTGTCTCTCTCCCCGCGGTCACGTGTGTTTCGAGTACTTGCCTGCAATGACATTTCCACGCAAATAAGCCACTTCGTTGGCCTATCACTTGCGACAGGCAGATCGCTGTTGAAAAAGAGCTATACGGCTCAGCAGGCCCTACCTGTTTTATTTTTATTATTTTATTACTTCCCTTCTACGTGACTTTACCGAAAGAACCAAGAAGATGAGGCCCTACCTGGTAAAATAAAAAGTAGTTTATAGCTTTAGCTTAAGCGGTGAACGGCGCAGAGGGTGACGTACCGGCAGGGGCCTTACCTGGTAAAACGAAAAACAACAACAACAAGATATCACTGCGCGTAGGCCCGCACGTTCATCAACGCTGAGGAGGTGCTGAAGGGCGAGGCGGAGGAGAACCTGGCCCGAGTGCGCGAGGCCCTCTCCATCCTGCGCCTCTTCCGCTCCGTCTACGAGGAGGAGAGGGCGGCCCTGCCCTCCCTGCGCAAGGGCAGCGATGACGATGGCGGCGATGACGGCGGCGACGACGGCTGGGATTTCCCGCCCAACGCCGTCTTCTCACGCCTCGACCGCTTCACGGAGAGAGTCACCGACGTGGAGGTGAGATTCCAACATTTCCGTCCTCCCCATCATCTCTAACTTCTCCCGGTGGCGGTGAGAGCCGAGCGCCGAAATCCACGGCGCAAGTGAGCCTGGGGTGGGTCCTGGCAGTCGCCACGTCGTTATTGTGGGGGTAGTTGGGGCTACAGGCGGCGGTGATGGTGGTAGTAGTTGGTAACGGGAAACATCTGTAGCTGCGGACTTGCCTCCTCCATAACAGATCGGCGTCTGTTGTGGAGGAGGCTCGTGAAGGACGCTACTGGGCAGCTGGATGCAATGGTGTGTGTACGTATGTTGATGCTTCTTTCGCGCCGTACGTAGCCAACCGTGCGGGGGAAGGACAACCAGCTAAACATAAAACGCCGTTGATTTTGTGGTTGTGGCGGTCGTGTTGGTGAGAGTGGGCATGGTGGTATGTGTGGGTGAGCGGTAGTGTAACGGTTAGCACGTTACCCTACGAACCCGGCTACCTGAGTACCATTCCCACTCGCGGCCAACACCAAGTGACGATTATCTGAACCGGTCCAGGGCCTCCCCAAGGTCGACTCAGCCTCAAATGAGTACCTGGTGCGGAGTGTAAATATCGCCACTAGGGAGACAAAGGTGGTCGGGCGTGGTGCTGGCCACTCACCCTCTCGTGTGCCGTGCAGGCCTTCATAGGTTCTACTCTCGAACAGTACTTGCCCCAATAGTCTTTGTCTTCGTGGTATGCGTGCGGATGTGTCGATGGTGCATCCACCCCGTCCATTTCCCCGCCACCCTGACAGGAGCTGCTGGTGACGGCCGTGGACATGTTCAAGCTGGAGAAGATTGAGATTGGGGGCCTCCGTGGCCGGGTGTTGAGCCAACGCATCTGCGACATCCACCAGCAGTTCCAGGAGCTGTTTGGGCAGTTTTCCGAGAAAACTTACGACTCCTTGGACGTGACAAACCAGGTTTGCGAATCCGTGGTGGCAAGGAGATGTTAACTACCTCGCCTCGCATGCAGGAGGTCGTGGGTTCGGTCCCGACCCTGACGCCTGCTGCTGTATATTTGGAGTTTGCGTGTCTCTCTCTCTCATCATCATCACGGTGGCTAGGAGATGTTAACTACCTTGCCTGGTATGCAGGAGGTCGTGGGTTCGGTCCCGACCCTGACGCCTGCTGCTGTATATTTGGAGTTTGCGTGTCTCTCTCTCTCATCATCATCACGGTGGCTATGAGATGTTAACTACCTCGCCTGGTATGCAGGAGGTCGTGGGTTCGGTCCCGACCCTGACGCCTGCTGCTGTATATTTGGAGTTTGCGTGTCTCTCTCTCTCATCATCATCACGGTGGCTAGGAGATGTTAACTACCTCGCCTGGTATGCAGGAAGTCGTGGGTTCGATCCTGACCCTGACGCCTGCTGCTGTATATTTGGAGTTTGCGTGTTTTTCTTGTGGTTACGTGGACTTTTTTCGGGGTCCTCCAGTCTTTTTCCCTATACATTTTAGAAAGAACACGCATTTTAGAGTTGTTGGCTGCTATACATTTCCACGTGATAAGCCGCTTGGTTGAGCTATCGTTTGTGGCCAGGCCGCTTCTGAAAAAGAGCTATAAAGTTCAGTGGGCCTTACCTGGTGAAATAAAAAAAAGTTTTTAGTTTAATTCTGGTATTGTTTGTGAGAATCAACGGCGAGCTGAAACGTACGTATGTTGAAGTTCTTTCGCACCGTACGTAGCCAACCGTGCTTATCTGAGGTGCGGGGGAAGGACAACAAACTAAACACAAAAAATCAGTTCTAAGGAACTAAGTTTTCAATCGAGCTCCCAGTGACTTCCTGATATCAGAAGGAAGGATGTTCCAGACGGCCGCAGAAGTGCATATGAAATGATCGCAAATGGCACGCTAAACAACACCTGTGCACGTGACGATTTAATTTACTTAGCCGTACCGAGGGTGGTGGAGGGGTCTTCACACAAACCTGGCCCCACCCTTTGGCCGTGACAACCTACGTGTTTTCGGTTAGACCAGTGTTCTTCACTAATTTTCAGAGGGGGTGTGGGGGCACTTTTGCCGATAAGACATCATCGGTGTGTGCGGGCCACCACACATTTGAAACCATTGGGGGTTTGACAGCACGACGACAATGATAATAGGGGGCATAATGCACGGGCATAATATGACTTTAAACCCCCCGCCCACCTCCTACGCATTTCACAAGTAGTACTAATCCCATATCTGCATTTCCCATAAATATGCTAAATTCCTCTTGATATGCAAATTATTTTGTCAAGGCACTCTTCCCCCTCCAACCCAGCTTAAATAGACGCTCCAAGCCTGGGGTGTTTCATTCAGACTCTGTCTTCTCGACAGACCTGTTCTTCACCTGAGGACGGCTGCTTGCGTTTTGGCCGAAACGTCGTGCGAATTATCCATTCTACGTGACTTTACCGAAAGAACCAAGAAGATGATAGGGGGCGTTTTCACATTTGTGTAAAGTTGGGGGTGTCGCACTAAAGGCCACCAGATGGCCGTCAGTGGCCCGCGGACCTTGCAATGAAGGACCCTGTGTTAGATGTTGTCTCTGACCACGCTGTCCTTGCGCAGGAGTTTGAAAAGGACGTACGGAACTTCAAGATTCAGGTTGAAGACAGCGACCGGCAGCTCGGAGCGATTTTCTGCCAAGCTTTCGCCGACGCACTGAGCGTGGAGCACGCCTTCAAGGTATCTGGCGCACACGCAGCGCCCCGTTTGTCGATCCGCTGCTGGATGACGAGGGCCTCTGTGCGCCTGTGACCTCTCACCATGACCTCCAGGAGCTCTCTTTGGTCAGATTGACGACAATAACCCTACGGCAGCTCGGACGTCAAACAAGATGTACATTTTATTTCATGTCACCCTCCTCCACCCGCCTGCTCTGATGAGTCCGGTGTGCCTGCTTGGTACCGTCGATGCCCATGCTACTACCGCCCGGAAAGGCAGAATGTTGCAATGTATGATGTTATGATAAAAAATTACACGTGAAAGAAATACATTTCATGTCAAGTACTTTGACCTTGGGTGTTGTTTCCCCGCGCAGCTCATTGACATGTTCGGCTCTCTGCTGGAGAGGCCTCTGATTGCGGAAGACGCCAACGTACACCTGCCGCGCCTCGTGACCATGTTCGACCACGACCTGGACAGCGCCAAGGTCATCTACAACCGACACATCGCCACGGAGAAGGACCTGGGTGCGTGCTCCTAGCTCTGCCTGGCGGGCCTTGTGTGCCTCGCCGGCCTCAACGGGCGCTCGCTAACAGCGCTCGTAAAAGCACAGGAGCTCGGCGGATCGTTTACGTTTGCGGGATCCTGAGAGAGGGCAACAGCTTGGGGTCGTTCCATCCAGCAGTGGATTGAGGCGACAGAGAGCACTTGCCCTGGCCGGTCTGTAACAGCTGTGAGGGTGATATTTGTCTTTTGTTGCGTCCGTGCCCTCTGATGCGCTCCAGTCTTTCTCTCGCTGCTGTTCAGTCACTGCCTTGTTTCTCTTTGAACGCTGCCACCATGGTCGTCGCTCTGGTGAACCTCCTCGCCTTTATAACTCCCAGCCACACTGCGTTCAGCCACCACGCGGTGGGATAAAACGCATCTCCTGCTGCCTCTTTTGTCTTAAATGCTCGAATTTGCAACTCCCTCCCGTCCATCATCCCTTATCCACCAAGTGTCCCTAACCTTTCTGCGGTCAAAAAACGACACGTTTGTTCTCGCCCGCTACACAACGATTAGCGCTCTAAGTTGCTCGCCACTTTGCGTCTGCGACGAAGCACGCGCGCAGCCATAGCGGATGGCGTCCGTCGCGTAGTGCGATCCATCTTCATTGTGTTTGTGCCTTGTGGGTTGATTTTTTGTGTTTTCCTTCAATTAGAAATGAAATCAACACACTCGTGAATAACAGTGGCCCTTCCTCACAGCACAGAGAGAGAGAGGGCTGGAGTGAATAGGAGTTGTGTAAAGTATTTAAAACACCTCAAGACAAAGACAAAGATCCCCGTATAGCCTTGAACAGACGGTTGGGGCAAGTGCTGTTCGCGAGTGGCAGCACCTATGAAAGCCGGCACGGCACACGAGCGCGTGGGTGACCAGCACCACGCCAGGCCGCCTTTGTCTCCACGGTGGCGATGTTTGCGCACTGCACCAGGTACTAATTTTAGGCTGAGTCGACCTAGGGAAGGCCCAGGACTGGTTCAGATAATCGTCACTTGGTGTTGGCCGTGAGCGGGAATGGAACCCGGGTTCGTAGGGCAGCGCGCTTACAGCTCGGGGCCTTTATATTCCTCGGAACTGTGCACACACACACTCAGACATATATTAAAAAAACGTTGACTTCTATTATATTGTAGCGTGGCCCTCGCGAAACGAAACGCGATCGAATGAACCCCTCCGACGTTGCACCCGCAGGCCGGCCGCCCGTCAGTAAGAACATGCCCTACGTGGCGGGAGGCCTGCGTTGGGCCCAGCTGCTGGAAGGGAGGATCGAGGTTCCCTACAGGAATTTCAAGCACTTCTCCCACCGGTACGTCACCCTCTGCTCCAGTTCACCGCCTAAATGAAAACTTTCGATTTAAAGCTTTCGTGACTGCAGGGATTCATCTTCTTGGTTCTTTCGGTAAAGTCACGTAGAAGGGAAATAATAAAATAATAAAAAGAAAACATGATAAATGTATTTTATTCCCTTCTACGTGACTTTACCGAAAGAACCAAGAAGATAAACGAAAGTTGTAAACTATTTTTTTTATTTTACCAGGTAAGGCCCGCTGAGCCGTATAGCTCTCACAAATGATAGCTAATCGAAGTGGCTTATCATCACGTGGAAATGTATGGCAGCCGAATAATCTAAAAGCACGTTCATTCTAAATATAGAGGGAAAAACCAAGGGACCCGGCGAAAAATCCACGTGACCACGGGGAGAGAGAGAAAGAGATGTGCGTGGCGGTTGCCTCTGTCCATTTAGCCCCACCACACACGTGGCCTACAAATCGGCTAACCGTGGGTGTACCCATTTCAGCGCGTCAAGTGCCTTGCAGAAATGCGCTTTTTAAAGTCTTAGGTTGTTTATTAGCAGGAGATCATCACGCTTGGGTATAAAGGTAAAGGTGCAGCCCTGCAATTGCTTGATCACGCCACTGCTGATGGACGGGCGTCCACTGCGAGGGAACTCTAGAGGGTGTGTGACCCACTCGTTCTGCTGCGCTGGCCAAATGACTTCGAGGGAGGTGGGAGTTACCCACACTTTACCCCACCACACGTAACTTGCCAACTGGCTGACGGTGGTTAGCCCATTTCTACCGCTGGATGGACAGAGGTAGCGCTGCGATGGGGTGGGTGGGGGGGGGTGGGTTATAAGAAAGATGCTTCCACCCCCCCCCCCCCCCCCCATCGTATCAAGTGCCGCACCAGGGTATGGAATCTACTGGACATCTGTGAAACTGCTGGACGTCTTTTGAAAAAGAGCGTCATGGCTCACCAGATTCCTCCAGTATAAACGAATATTCTGAAAAAAAAAATATTTTGAAAAATTCTGAGATGGAATCGAACCGGTGGCACTCTGGACAGCTGGTCCCCCCCCCACCCCCCCACCCCCCCAACCCCCCACCCCCCCGTCGCTGGATGCAAGTCTGACTTGCGGCTCGCTGCCTTGTGCCCCGTTACGCCGGTGCCGGTGCAGGTGCATGGAGACGGTCGAGGCGCACAGCATGATGCAGAAGTACGAGGAGATGATCGAGCTGCTCAATAGGTGAGAGGTGAAATGGGCGTCAACGGCCGAGGCGGACCCCTTTTTAAATCCTTTATATTAAGTTCACTTGCTTGCTTGCTTGCGCCAATCGAGCTGACATTTTGCACACAGACTCGTTGTGCGTGACAATTTCTTTTCGTGAAAAAAAAATTCCAAAATTTTACACTTTTTAGGTAAAAAAAAATTACATTTAATTACCAATTGCTTAATGGTGGCAGGCAATCATCTGACCCATAGGTGGCAGCCATCTCAAGCCAGAGGACGAGAGGACTCTAGCCGCCCGTTTCAAAGACCAATGTGGGCTGGGTTGTGGCCCATTGAACACGCATATAAAGGATTTATAGTGAAAAACTTTGTTTTTCCGGGTTAATTTTTTTGTGCCTTGGCAGGGGAGGTGGAGAACAAACCGGGAGGAATGGCCGTGTGTTCAGATTACTCAACTATAAACTTTCTTTTCTACTTGAGAAGTGAAACTGGCCACAAATTATACAGCTCCGTGAATTGGCTTATTTCTAGATTTGAAATTTTCGTGACTGCAAGGATCCATGCTCTTTGGTTCTGTCGGTTAAAGTCACGTCGGTGAAAAATAAAAATAATAAAATGAAAACAACTAAATTAAATCACGACGTTTCGGAGGCAACACAAGCCTCCGTCATCAGGTGGAACCGTCACAGCAAAATTTGATTTAATTTATTTAAATTTTTTACCTACGTGACTTTACCGAAAAAACCAAACAGTATGAATCCTTGCAGTCATGAAAACTTCAAATCTAGAATTGACCATTTCACCTCGTCCACTCTGTGTTCAACCACCACCACCAACGCCACCGCCACCACCACCGCCACCACCACGACCACCACGGCCGCCACCCTGTAGGTCACCCTGACTTCTCTTTCTGCTTCTTCCATTCCACTTCTCCCCTTTTTGAATTCCCTCTCCCATCGTCTCTGTTGCTCAGTCAAAACGATTTACACCTTCAACGGTGCTGTTTGCTGCCTTGCGTTTTTTTTCTTTCCCCGCCTTCGGGCCTGCCATCGGCGAAAATCTCGAAACTGAGCGAGCCTCACTCGATTCCCATTGCCCTTCCGATGTCGACACGGTGCGCCCCCCGCCGTGCAGCTGTTGAGCCGAAGGAGTTTCGAGCCGACGGTGTCTGTCGGCGCGTGCGCAACTCAGGTACAAGGAGCGTCTCTTTGCCGAGTGGGCCCAGTCCGTGGGCGAGAGGTCGGAATTCAACCTGTCCCAGCCGCTCATCTGCCGGGACCCTGAGACTCGCCTCATATCGGTCAACTTCAACCCTCAGGCATGTGATCCCACACCAGCATGATTGAAAATTTTTTAGCAAACAAGCGATCGAACTGCCACGCCAGGCCATTAAGGGAGCCTCTGTTTTGTGAGTGGGGGGGGGGGGACCCTCAGTGTCAGCCGTCCCTGCGCAGTACAAGGCGAACGCAGCTGCGGGAATGAATTGGCAAGTAGGGAGCAATGTTGCCATGTGGCTTTGCCCGATTAAGTGATCTTTTAGGTAATCATTGATCACATTCGGCAAATTATGGCTCGTTCCGAGCTGGTGTCTTCCACTTCGAAGCAGGCGGTGCGGGGTACTTTGTCGTTAACCAGGGCGGCCGCTTGGGCTCGAACCCGCGAGCTCCTACCGACAGGACGGCAGGCACGCGACCGCTGGGGTCGCGTCGCCGCCCCTCGCAGAGTGTTGTTGAGGCCCTGCCTCCATTCCGCAGCATAAACAAATGGTGCTTTTTTTGGAAGATTTAATTGCGTACATTACATTTTATTGTTTGTTGCGGTTGCACCCGAATCAAGAGCCGAATGGCTTACAGGGTTATTCCAAATAACTGAAACTGAAAAACTGAAACTGTGTGCCTCCACAGCTGGTGGCCGTGCTGCGGGAGGTGCGGTACCTGGAGTTGTTGGCCCGTGGCGGTGGCGGCGGCAGTGGCGGTGGCAGCGCTGGCAGCGTCGGTGGTAGTTTGGCAGGGGAGCAAGATTTTGGCGGACTCAAGTCCGTGCCGGAGGAGGCGCAGAGACTGTACGCGGGGCGGGAGGATTTGCGGCGGTGAGTTGCGGCCCGATGCCTGTCCAGCGACAGCAAAGAGAAAGATCCCCCGTGTAGCCTTATCAGACTGTTGGGGAAAGTGTTGTCCGCGAGTGGCACCTATGAAGGCCGGCACGGCACGCGAGTGGGATGTGTGGTTAGCAGCATCATGCCCGGCCGCCTTTGTCTCCCGAGTGGCGATGTTTACACACTGCACGAGGTACTCATTTGAGGCTGAGTCTACCTAACGGGAGAGTCAGGAACGGTTCAGATAATCGTGACTTGTGGTGGCCGTGAGCTGGAAATTGAATTTGGGTTTGCCAGGTTCTTCGTGCAGCGCTCTAACTGCTGCACTACCGCTCCCTGCAACAGCATCGAATAGTCAACAAAAAGTCAAATAAGTATGGAGGCGGTGCCCGTCTCAGAACCAGTGGTGGCAATTCCACATTCCTGTGGTAGGGTGAGTCTACCCACAGGACAACCACTGTTCACCTCCCCACAGAGCGGGACTCATTTTGGAGGGACGATGAACTGGCGACCTTCCGACTATGAGCCGCTCGATCTACGGCTGAGCGGCCAGGCTGGTTAGCTGTAGAGCGGTCGTGGTGATCGGTGGGCGCATCGATTCGCGGATCAATTTGCAGATATTTGGGGCAGCGCTAGAGGATAAAAGTTACCTCGAGGAAATAATGATGCCAATTATATTAACCCGGAAAAGCCTCACCGGCGCACATGGTCCAGTTTTCAGGAGGTTCTGCCACTTGCAATCCAGGGGTTTCCACTTTGATCTCCCGGTGTGACGTTTGAAGAAATTAGCGAGTTCATGAAACAACCCCCACCTCTTTCCATCCATTAGGATACACGGATGCACCGCAGTTGGCCGCGTGTGGTGGGGTAACGTGTGGGTAACTGCCACATATTCTTCCGTTGGGATGTCTGGTCAACGTGGAAGAGGAGGTCAAAACACCCTCCAGCAAGCCTCTCTCGTGGCTTGCCTTAGTGGAGGTCCTTCCTCCAGCAGCTGTGTGCGCAAGCACTTGCAGGGCCGCACCTTTACTCTGCCACGTTGGGACGCTCGGGGTGCAGGTGCGTGGAGAGCCTGGAGCTGACGGTCGGCTGGTACAACAAGGTGCTGCGCTCCGTGCTGGAGGTGGAGCTGCCCCTCGTGGCCGGGCAGCTCCAGGAGGTGGATGACAAGTTGGAGCTGGCAGAGGGCACGCTCTGCTGGAAGAGTGAAGGTGCGGCGAGTAGGGGTGGCTGTGTGACGCAGGTGTTCACGCGAGCCGCGGTGGCGAGATGTTAACTACCTCGCCTGGGGATCGTGGGTTCTATCCCAACCCTGACGCCTGCTCCATATTTGGAGTTTGCTTATTCTCTCTCCCCGTGGTCGTGTGGATTATTCTACGGTTCCACCGGTTTTTCCCCTCCACATTTGGAAAGATACGTTGAGAGTATTTGCCTGCTATTAAAGTTTCACGTGATAGACCACTTTGTTGGGGCCATCATTTGCGGGCAGGTGGCTTCTGAAAAAGAGCTACATAGCTCAGTGGGCCTTACCTTGTGAAACAGAAATAGTAAAAAACAAATTTTGTTTATACTCTTTGGTTCTATCTTAATTATGGAGCTTTCGTGACTGCAGGAATTATTCTTTGGTTCTTTCGGTTAAGTCACGTCTAAAGATAAAATAATAAATAAAAAAATTAAAATTCATTTATTATTTTATATTTAGACGTGACTTAACCGAAAGAACCAAAGAATAACTCTTTGGTTCTTTCGGTAAAGTCACGTAGTTGGAAATAAAATGAAACAAATCACGACGTTTCGATCGCAACGCAAGCAATCGTCATCAGGTGGGACAACTGCATCAATAAACAACTGCTGAAGAAGGCGAGAGAGCTGCCGTGGCACGAGGTTATGTAGACTGTATAGGTAGGGGAAATAGTCTGTATTTTAAATCACGGTTTCGGCCACCCGTGATCAAACTGACGCCGCTCCTGTTGCTACGTGTCCACGCGCTGCCAGGCGTGTGGGAGTACATCCAGACGACGCGCGACCTCGTCAAGGGCCTGGAGAGTCGCACGCAGAAGGCCAAGGAGAACGTGGAGGTGGCTTGCGGCCTCATGAAGGCCTGGGTGTCGCCCGTTTTCGAGCGCAAGGAAGGCAAGAGGGAGACGCTCCTCAATCTGGACGATCGCAAGGAGCGGCTGGAGAAACGGTACCAGTCGCTGCGGGACTCGGGCCACAAGATTCACGAGCTCCTCAAGGTACGCGGGTTAACCGAAACTAAAGTGCAGATTTTTGTTGTTGTATTTTACCCTGTAAGGCCCCGCTGAGCTAATCAGCAAAACCCCTGTTATCTACCACCGCTGTTAACGACTGATCGCTTAACAACAGGCCTCCATAGAGGCAGTGTATAGTAGCGTAGTGTATAGTAGTGTCGTGTATAGTGATGTAGTGTATAGTAGTGGATAGTTTAGTGTATAGTAGTGTAGTGTATAGTAGCGTCGTGTATAGTAGTGTAGTGTATAGTGTAGTGTATAATGTAGTGTATAGCAGAGGTGGGACAAAGTCATTGTTATGCAAGTCCAAGTCGAGTCTGAAGTCATCAAATTCATGACTCGAGTCTGACTCGAGTCCAAGTCACATGACTCGAGTCCACATCTCAGAGGTGGGACAAAGTCATTGTTATGCAAGTCCAAGTCGAGTCTGAAGTCATCAAATTCATGACTCGAGTCTGACTCGAGTCCAAGTCACATGACTCGAGTCCACACCTCTGGTGTATAGTGTAGTGTATAGTAGTGGATAGTGTAGTGTATAGTAGTGTATAGTATAGTGTAAAGTAGTGTAGTGTATAGTAGTGTAGTGTTTAGTGTAGTGTATAATGTAGTATATAGTGTAGTGTATAGTAGTGCATAGGGTAGTGTATAGTAGTGTAGTGTATAGCGTAGTGTATAATGTAGTGTATAGTGGTGTCGTGCCTCCATAGAGCCCAACGTCTTTGCTTACCGACCATTGCCCTGTTAACAACCGGCTGTTGTAGGTACAGTAAATATTAATTGATGCATTGATTAACTATGTTTCTTTTAATTTTATGTGCTTATAATGTTGTTTGTATCTTTATGTATTCATATCTATTGTTTAAATATGAAGTTTATTTTTTGGTTGATAAAGTGTAACTTTTGATGCTATCGGAACGAATTAAGCCTTTGACGTGTATTTCCTCTTCTCGCTTAACGACCAAATCACTAAACGACCGGTTTCGTGGAGCCAATTACCGTCGTTAAGAGGGGTTCTATTGTGTGTATATAGAGAGCTCGTTTTCACAAGCGTCCTGGCCATCACGAATGATAGCTCAACGAAGTGGCTTATTGTCACGTGGAAATTTACAGCGGTAAAAAATACTCTCGAATGCACGACGATTCTAAATGTGGAGGGAAAAACCCGTAGAAAAATCCACGTGACCAAGAGGAGAGAGAGAGAGACACACAAACTCCTCCTGCACACCAGGCGAGGCAGATAACAATACTCAACGCATTAATTCAGCATTTCGCTACATGCGGTCATTTATTTGGGCTTGGAGAAAGTGATTCGAAAACTGGGAGGGCCGCAAATTCAAATCGTGCCGTTCGTTCCACGGAGGCCGATGAAACGGATTCCTCCTTGGGCGAAGTCAACGGCCATGGGAATGTGGAATTTTCTCCGTGGGCTAAGCGCTGCGATTAAAGGCCGCGAATTAGGCCGGCGATTTTCCCACCTCCCGTGGAGTCCTGCGGAGCGCGCCGCTAAAAGCCGATGTAGAGCGAGCGACGCCCGCCACCGGGACACACGGGTTTAACGGTGCCCTCCCGCTGCCCGGCCGTCGTGCCCGCGGGGGCCGCTGTCTCTCAGGAGAACCTGGAGCTGCTGCAAGCGGACGCGAGCTCGGAGGAGTGGCAGGCGTACGTGGAGTACGTGGACGAGATGGTGGTGGATGGGTTCTTCACGGCCATCGAGTGCTCGCTCAAGTTCCTCATCGAGAACATGGGTGAGAGAGACTGAAGCTATTCAACTATTGTTTCAACTTAACAGTTAAGGCCCGCAGAGCTGGCCTCGAGCGATAGCTCAACGAAGTGGCTTGTCACGTGGAAATTTATAGCAGCCAGATACTCTAAACGTGTGATGTTGATTCTAAATGTGGAGGGAAAAACCGGAGGACCCGGAGAAAATCCACGCGACCACGGGGGGAGAGAGAGAAAGACACGCAAACTCCAAATATACAGCAGCAGGCGACAGGGTCGGGATAAAACCCATGATCTCCTGTATACCAGGCGAGGTAGTTAACGGTTTAACACGTAGGCTTTCGCGACCAATATTATTCATAATAAACATTTTTGGGTTTAAAGTAGTGAACTATTTGTCTTTTTTCAACGTGACACTTTTTTGCTGATTGGCCGTGTTGGGTGGTGGAGGGTTATGACACATTTATAAATAACGCGATCTAACCCAAGAACGTTTATTATGAGGTAGTTAACATCTCGATTTGAAGCTTTCGTGACTGCAAGGATTCATACTCTTAGTTCTTTCGGTAAAGTCACGTAGATTAGCTGCATCAAGGCTTGATGCAGCTAATCTGGCTGTGACGGTCCCACCTGATGACAGAGACTTGTGTTGCCTCCGAAACGTCGTGATTTTCATTGTTTTATTTTATAATTTTTTATTACATTTTTTACCTACGTGACTTTACCGAAAGAACTAAGAGTGTAGTTAACATCTCACCACCGTGGTGCCCAATATATTGCACGAAGATGTAGCATCACCACGTGGCGGTGGGCGGATAGACCCTTTTGTAAACATTGCCACTTGTAAACGTTGTCGCGCAGATGCTCGGACGTGCGGAGCTCCGCTCTTCAAAGTGCGGCTGGAGCTGGTGGCGCCCGAGCTGGTGTTCAGCCCGTCGTTGGACGAGCAGGACAGCGGGGACGGCCTCGCGGACCTGGTGGAGGCGCTGGTGAACGACGTGTACCGCGTCTCGTCGCTGGTGCCGCGCCTCGCCGCGCACAGCAGCTTCCCGCACTACCAGGTGCGAGCGGCGTGGGGCGTCGTGCCAAAGACGTGTCCCCCTTTCCCCCCACCCCCCTCCCCCGCCGCGGTCACCGACGTTCGGCCCCCGCTTCGCGCACGCAGCGCTCAAGACCCTTCCGGTACCAGGGGCTTGAGCGGGTAATTGCGGTGCTGTGCCTTTATCTGTTTGTTTCCTCTTGCTAAGCTCAGCACAGTGTTCGCTTGCTCTTGAAGAGAGAGAGCGACGCAAAGGAAGCGTAAGCAAGCGAGAAGGCAGCCATGCAGTGAGCAGGTGCCAACGATTGCCCACCCAAGCTCTGCTGTCCTGTATTATTAAGATGTGGGAGGAAACCGGCTCACCCGGAGAAAACGCACACGTGCGAGGGGGAAACGCTCTATGACGTACGGACAGAAGTTGGGCGTCCACACTTTTGGCCGTACCGCCTTCTCCTGGCGCCTCCTCGACGCCCACCCGCGCGGGGAAGGGAGTTTCACGACCCTCGTGCGGCGATCCACCAACCCTCGCCGCTGCCCCGGTTAACGATGAGGGGGGGGGGGGGCCTCCGCCTTTGTCGTCGACAGGCGGACATGGAGGACATGGTCGACCTGGCCGACATGCGGGACGAGCTGATGCGGCGCGTGCGCACCGCGGCGGCCCGCTGCCTGGAGTACCGCTCGACGCTGGCGACGTACGCGCACCTCTGGGCCGACGACCGGCACGAATACCTGCGCCAGTTCCTGCTCTACGGCCACGCGCTCACCCCCGAGGAGGTGGAGATGCTCGCCACGGCACACACGTGAGTCGACGAGGGTTTTGGCGGCGGGCGGGTAGGATCGTTTACGCGCCGGGGCGACCGTCGCCCGGCCAGGCGCGACGGGAGCGACGATTCGGGCGCAGGTCCACGTACGGCGGTGCGTGGACCTGCGCGTGTAACAATATTGTGTCACCTCTTGACGTTTAAACACTCGGCCCTCCGCTGTGTGCGGACCAACCAAAGGTCACTTGAAGGGACTTCGGAGGTAGCTCTGTTGTCATCCGCTTCCGTGGGCCGCTGCCCTGCGAGAGATCCGGTTGGAACCCACGTCTCGAGACACCAGACTGACATCTTGCATGGGAGGCGGCACGGTAGAAACACTACGCGATGACGACGATGACGAGCAATTGTTGCCGCCGTGGCGCCCCCCCCCCTCTTCCCCGCCCCCCGCCACTCGCGCGGCAGAGCGGCGGATGACGACGAGGGGCACGCGGCGGGCGTGATGGAGCAGCCCCCGACGCTAGCGCAGTTCCGCGAGCAGGTGGACAGCTACGAGCGGCTGCACGAGGAGGCGTCGCGGCTCGAGCCGTCCACCACGGCGGAGGGGTGGCTGCGCGTGGACGCGCGCCCCTTCAAGGCGTCGCTGCTCAACATCATCAAGCGCTGGAGCCTCATGTTCAAGCAGCACCTGGTCGACCACGTCACCAACAGGTGGGTGGAGACGTCGCTTGGCTGTGACTCCCCCGGGTGGCCTTGAGTTTGGCGGCGGCCGCGGTGGTGGTGGTAGCGGCGATGTGTGTGTGTGTACCAAAAAGCAGTTCGAAAGAAATTCGTTTTAAATCTAGATATAAAAGTGCACAAGCCCAGTGGCTTCTCCAGTACGTATGTTGAACTTGTTTTTCACCGTACATAGCCGACACCGCGCTAATCGGCGGTGCGGGAGAACCTGCGTTGGAATCCGGGGTTGGACCGGCCAACCGGAACGAGACTGGGTTCTCGAACGCTGCCTACTCCCCCCCCCCCCCCTTCTCATCGCAGCCTCCTTGGCCTGGAGCAGTTTGTGCAGGAGAAGGAGGAGGGCCTGGGCCAGAAGATAAAGGAGGGCGACTACCACGCCTTGGTGGACGTCATGGGCCACCTGATGGCCGTCAAGGAGCGGCAGGCGAGCACGGACGCAATGTTCGAGCCGCTCAAGGAGACCATCGAGCTCCTCAAGTCGTACGACCAAGAGCTTCCGGACGACGTCTACAGGCAGCTCGAGGTATCGGAAGCGGAATATTTATTTAGACCGCGTGAGGAATCCGGTGAGCTATGAAGCTCTTTCTCACAGGTGTCCAGTCGGGGCCTAGGGGTCAGAGCGTCAATAACGGCAATATCAGCGCCGAGAGACCCGTGGCCGTGGTGTGGCGCTTAACGTTTCCCTTTCTGAGACTGTCCTCTGAATCTGGGAACGTGCGAGCGGTTCAGCGTAGTGGCGTCGTTGTTTTTAAAGACCTTATGCTCACCGCAGAGAACTGTAGCGACACGACCGCGCTCTATGATAGCTGGCGCAAATTTGTGCCCCCACGCCCTCACGCATGGCCTTGTGGGAGCCTCGGTACCAATAAAGTTATCGTACTTTAGTTTTTCGTTCGATTCCGTTCCGACGTTGTACAAATTCGTCGACGTACTTTTGCGACGACGCACGCGTGTGTCATCGGAACGGAATCAGAATAAAAAACTGATGACGTACGTGCACGTACACGTACGTCGTCAGAATGAGAAATAGGGTTCATTGTGCACCCAGCGGTTTTCTGTTCCCGGTGACGGATGCGCGTTGCGTTATATAGTTGTGCATCTGGCAGTTTTTGTTTTAGGAGCTCGCTCCCAGATGAGTCCGGAGTGCAGTCCTCGGCCACCGAGGAGATCAATTGGTAGGCGACAGAGGGGCGGCACTTCGGCTGAGGTGCCCCAGGCTGCCCTGCAAGTTTCCGCAGCCACTAACAACGACCACTTCCCCACCGCTCTCTCTGTGTCTCCCTCCCTCTGCGTGTGTGTGCGTACCGCGCGTCGGCCGCAGGAGCTGCCGGAGAAGTGGACGAACCTGAAGAAGGGCGCGGTGGCCATGAAGCAGCAGGTGGCGCCGCTGCAGGCCGCCGAGGTGGCCGTGCTGCGCAGGAAGTGCGCCGCCTTCGACGTGGAGCAGCACCGCTTCCGCGAGCGCTTCCGAGCGAAGGCGCCGTTCTGGTGAGCGATGGAGGGGGAGGGGGGCCCGGGGGGGCCCGGGGGGGGGGGGTCCGGGGGGGGCCCGGGGGTTGGGGGGATTCTTCGTACTAAAACTTTTTATTATACTGGGTAAGTATACTGTTATTTTTTCGGTAAAGTCACGTAGGTACAAAAGGGAAATTAAAATTAATAAAAATAAAATGATAAAAATCACGACGTTCGGACGGCAACACAAGTCTCCGTCATCAGGTGGGGCCGTCACAGCCTGGATTTGCTGCATCAAGTGAGGCAGGGATTCCAAGATGCAAGTTCTTAAATACAAGTTAAGGGGGAGGAGGGGGGAGGAGCTTATCAGAATGTGGTAGCCAATGAATGGAACGTATTGGGAGGGGGGGGGCGGGGCTAAAAGAGAGGCCCACCGAGTGCGACCTGGCCGTCACAAATGATAGCTCAACTAAGCGGCTCGTCACAGCATGGACATTTATAGCGGAGGCCAAATACTTTTCGATTTAAAGCTTTCGTGACTGCAAGGATTCATCTTCTTGGTTCTTTTGGTAAAGTCACGTAGGAGGGAACTAATAAAATAAGAAAAATTATAAAAAAAAGTATAAAATGATTTTTATTATTTTGTTATTTCCCTTCTACGTGACTTTACCGAAAGAACCAAGAAGAGGACAAATACTCTAAACGATTCTAAATGTGGAACCAAAAACCGGAGGACCCAGAGAAAAAATCCACACGACCCTACTGGGCAAAACATGCAACCTCCAAATATACAGCAGTCGTTCATGGCCAGGATCGAACCAACGACTTCTTGTATACCTGGCGAGGGAGTTAACATCTTGCCACCGCGTTACTTCCGAGTCGGAGATTGAGCGCTGTCGGGCACGCGAAACGCAAACTTGGTTCCGCCGCGTCGCGCCGAGCCGAGCCGCGACCCTCAAATCCCTGCCCACCCACCCACAGCTATGACTGCGCCAAGCCCTATCCGCTGCTGGACACCTGGAACCGCGACCTGTCCTCCATGGAGGCGTCGCTGGCCAGCCTGGCCGAGTCGGCCGGCCTCTTCGAGGTGGCCGTGCCGGACGCGCGGCAGCTGCGGCAGTGCCGCCGCGAGGCTCGCGCCCTCCGGGAGCTGTGGGACGTGACGGCGCTGGTGCGCTCCAGCGTGGGCGACTGGCGCGACACCAGGTGGCGGCAGCTGGACGTGGACGCGATGGACGCCGAGTGCAAGCGGTTCGCGCGCGACCTCCGTGCGCTCGACAAGGAGACGCGCGCGTGGGACGCCTTCTCGGGCCTCGACTCGGAGGTGAAGAACATGATGACGTCGCTGCGAGCCGTCGCCGAGCTGCAGAACCCAGCGATTCGCGAGCGGCACTGGCAGCAGCTCATGCAGGTGGGTGCGGCTGGGCACTCGGCTACGTACGGGGTGAAAGGATTTCAACGTACGCAAGCACACGCGTGCACGCGCGTACGCGCGCTCGTAAGACGGACGCACGATTGTCGGGGGGGGGCGGGCACTGGCAGAAAGGTTGAGAACTACCGCACAGTTTGCTGGTACATTCATATTGTTAATTACCTCGCCTGGTATACAGGAGGTCGTGGGTTCAATCCCGATGCTGACGCCTGCTGTATATTTGGAGTTTGCGTGTTTTTCTCTCTCTGGCTCTCATCATCACGGTGGCTATGAGATGTTAACTACCTCGCCTGGTATACAGGAGGTCGTGGGTTCAATCCCGATGCTGATGCCTGCTGCTGTATATTTGGAGTTTGCGTGTTTTCCCTCCCCGTGGTCCCATGGATTTTTCTCCGGTGCTCCGGTTTTTTCTCTCCACTTCGTTGAGCTATCAATTGTGATGGCCAGGTCGCTTCTGAAAAAGAGCTGCATAGCTCAGTGGGCCTTACCTGGTAAAATAAAAAATAAATTGTTTACTTTAATTTGTCACGTGCTGTCACATCTCATTTGCCTTTTACTTTTACCCATCCCACCGTATCGTTCTCCCGCGTGTAACTTCTTCGCCCATGTCGCCCCCCCCCGCGCGTCGCGCGGCCCCCAGGCGACGGGCGTGCGCTTCTCGATGGACGAAGACACCACGCTGGCAGACCTGCTGCAGCTGAACCTGCACTCGTTTGAGGACGAGGTGCGCTCCATTGTGGACAAGGCAGTGAAGGAGATGGGCATGGAGAAGGTGCTCCGTGAGCTGCGCTCCACCTGGGGACAGATGAGCTTCGGCTACGAGCCGCACCCGCGCACCGCCGTGCCGCTTGCTGCGCTCCGACGAGGAGCTCATCGAGACGCTGGAGGAGAACCAGGTGGGTGGGGGAGGGGGGGGAGGAGCGTTCGTGCGATCGATCGATCGCCCTTTGGTGTTTATCGACGGCTTCACGAATCGTCTTCGCTCACACGGTTTCCGAAGAGCGGATGGTAAATACGGCACGGGTAGTACAGATGGTGAACACGGGACGGGCAGTACAGATGGTAAACACGGCACAGGCAGTACAGACGGTAAACGCGGCACGGGGCAGTACAGATGGTGAACACTGCACGGGCAGTTACAGACGGTGAACACGGCACGGGCAGTACAGACGAGTCATTGTAAACATGACTATTAGAGTCAGTTATGTTTTTAAATCATGATCCAGAGTCGTAGCATTCAATGCGGTGGTTGTTTGGCGTGGCCTTGACCGCTACTTGCCGACTCTGGACACGGAAGGCCTCCATCACCACCCGACACAGCCAGGCACAAACGTGTACAAGCAATTAACGAGCGATTAACGAGCAATTAACTATTGATGAACGAGCAATTAATGAGCAATTAGGGAGCAATAACAGATAATTAGGGAGTGATTATGGACAAATGAACGAGAAATTAACGAGCAAATAGGAGTAATTATGGACAATTAACTGGTAATTAATGCACCACTTATTGTTGTTTCAGCCCAGGGGGGAACAATCCTTGCGACGAATTGTAGTGGCTAGGTACGTGGCAATTCGCTTGGGACTGTATCAAGCATTCCTAAGGAAGTGGGAATTAAATTCCGGGCTGTCCACCTTGGCTGGGTGATGCGTGGGACAGTCGCAAGCGGAACGTCGCAGCCGATTGCTAACGGAATCAAGAGTCTTTATTTATACTGCAAGGAGGAATCTGATGAGCTTTCAAGCAGGTGTCCAGTCGGGGCACAGGGTCAGAAGGCTACAACGAACAATATAAAACACGATAGGAGTGGAAAGTGTAGGAAAGGTGAGCAAATTATGAAAAATAACACATTCCTGCGGAGGGAGCTGGTAGGAACGTTGGGTTGCTCGGTCAATAGCCAGGGTCAACGGCGGCGTGGTGTATTCCGCAAATATGCCCGACTGTGAGGACGAGCACAAGCCGGCGTGAGTAGGTTAAACGTTGAGTTTTATAAGGCACCACGAGGTGACCAGCCCCTCCCCACCCAGCCCCACCCCTCCCACCCCCACTCAGCCCCACCAACCCCACCCAGCCCCTCCCCACCCTCCCCACCCAGCCCCACCCTCCCCACCCTCACCCACCCAGCCCCTCCCCTCCCTCCCCACCCAGCCCTTCCCTGCACGACGGACGGACGGACACAATAATCCCCTGTGGGCTGGTGTAACCAGGAGGTTCCTACCAGTAAAAAGATAACGTACATAAAAATAAAAATAAACTATTTTTTAGTTTTTACCAGGAAAGGCTTTCTGAGCTATTAGCTTCCTTCTCAGAAGCGACGTGGCCACAAATTATAGCTCAACGAAGTGGCTTATTGACATTTGTAGCACTCCTATCGCGTTTTTGTACCGTTGTTCCAACGTTCTTACCCACCCCTACTGGGCATGCGTAAAGAAGAGCTTTACAGGTCGTCGGATTCCTGCAGGAAAAGTAAATATTCTGATTGTGTGACGTTGATCCTCAATGTGCGGGGGGGGGGGGGGGAAACTCGTAGATTCGGTTGGGGAGGGTCATCCATAAACTTAGCGGTGAGCTGAAAATAAAATAATCCCTTGTTACAGCCATCTCTTGGCATATCTTCAGCGATTGTTTCGCCAGCGGTGGCCTCCACCTGAGAAGGACGCTTGTGTTGCCGCCCGAAACGTCGTGATTTCATTCAGTTTTTCATTAATTTTTTTTATTATTTTCACCTACGTGACTTACCGAAGAACCAAAGAGTATGAACAATAAAATAATTCGGTTTATCGGGTGTTGGAGGCTTCACAATGACACAGATTCGGTCCGACCGTTACGTGTCCTCGCCCACAAAAAAAAGTCAAATCAATTTCGGCTGCGAAAGCTCTACGCGTCGACGTTTTGAGTTTCATCCGCATTATCGCCGGCGTTCAACTTTCGAACGGACAAGCGTCGAGTTTCTCCAAAGCTCAGGAAGGCACCGCTCGGACCGAAACGAAGGCCGTGGGCGGCGACCGCCCACACGCCTCCTCCTCCGCCTGCCCCCGCCATTTCCTTTCTCGCCCCGCAGGTGCAGCTGCAGAACTTGATGACGTTCCAAGTACGTGGCGTTCTTCCTGGAGGAGGTGTCGAGCTGGCAGCGGGCGCACTCTCCACGGCCGACTCGGTCATCTCCACTGGCTGGAGGTGCAGCGCACGTGGTCACCACCTCGAGAGCATCTTCATCGGCTCCGAGGACATCCGCTCGCAGCTGCCCGAGGTGTGCGCTTGTTGCGTGTGCGCGTGGTGGGGTTTGGTGGTGTCTGTAGGGAACTCGCTCGCGTGTGTGTCTGTTGTGTCTGTGTGTCTGGTGTGTCTGTGTTTCTGTGTGTCAGTGTGTGTCAGTGTGTCTGTGTGTCTGTCTGTGTGTCTGTGTCTCAGTGTGTCAGTGTGTCTGTGTGTCTATGTGTCTGTGTCTCAGTGTGTCAGTGTGTCTGTGTTCAGTGTGTCTGTGTGGCTGTGTGGCTATGTGTGTCTGTGTGTGTGTCAGTGTGTCTGTGTGTCAGTGTGTGTCTGTGTGTGTGTCAGTGTGTCTGTGTGTCAGTGTGTGTCTGTGTGTGTGTCAGTGTGTCTGTGTGTGTGTCTGTATGTCTGTGTGTCAGTGTGTCTGTGCCTCTGTGTGTCAGTGTGTCAGTGTGTCTGTGTGTCAGTGTGTCTGTGTGTCTGTGTGTCTGTGTGTCTGTGTGTCTGTGTGTCTGTGTGTCTGTGTGTGTTGGGGAGCGGTAGTGTTTAGCGGTTAGCGCTACGAACCTGGCGCCCGAGTTCGATTCCCGCTCACGGCCAACGCCAGTGACGAATATCTGAACCGGTCCTGGGCCTCCCGTAGGTCGACTCAGTCTCAAATGAGTACCTGGTGCGACGTTTAAACGTCGCCACTAGGTGAGACAAAGGCGGCCGGGCGTGGTGCTGGCCGCCCACCCCCTCGTGTGCTGTGCCGGCCTTTCATAGGTGCTCGCTAACAGTCACTTGCCCCAAGAGTCTGTTAAAGTCTATAAGGGGTGATCGTCGTGTTAATGTTGATACGGGGAGAGGGCTGTGTAATTGCCGGAACGTTTCAGAGCAGTCCCCGGCTCAGCTCCTCGTCCGCGGATCGTCCGCCGCCGTTCGCAGCGACGCGGTTCACTCAACTGAATCTCTCTCCGGCCCCCGATCGCAGGACAGCAAGCGCTTTGAGGGGATCGACGCGGAACTCCGCTGCAGAGGGCGTACGACACAGAGAGAAGACCCCCAACGGGTGGAAGCCACCAACAAGCGGGGCTGTATGAACAGCTGGAGGACATTCAGGGCAGGTGCGTGCGCGTGCATGTGATTGTGAGGGTAGTGTAGCGGTCAGCGCGCTGCGTTACCAACAGAGGTCGCAAACGGGTTTTGATTCCTTACCCGTACCCGTACCCGGCCGCACCAGGGTCGCAAACGGGTACCCGTACCCTACCCGTACCCTACCCGTACCCGGCCGGGTACGGGTAGGGTATGGGTATCGGGTACCTGATTGCGACCTCTGGGATGAAGCCATGTTGCAGGCGCGGGTGGGTTGATTCTAGGAACTTGAATTGTGAGAAGAGACAAGACGTTGGGAAATGAGTGACAAACGGTTACTCACCAGTGACTCACGGCCTACCCGTACCCGTACCCGGCCGCACCAGGGTCGCAAACGGCTACCCGTACCCATACCCGGCCGGGTACGGGTAGCCGGGTATCGGGTAGGGTACGGTTATCGGGTACCCGGTTGCGACCTCTGCTGAGTACGCATCTCGCGCGTTATCGCCGACTATGCTTTACTCCACATTGTATATTATCCGTTACAACGCGATTTTTCCACGACGCGGTGTTCTTCAGGAGCGCAACTACTACCGCCACTTCATAGGGGAACAGAACGTAACTTTATCGCCGGGCCAGGCCCCGCAGCATCGTCGTTCGCTGCAGCGGCGTCGCACTCAGATCGCCGACGTTCAGCTCGGTTGTCGTCCGTCCTCGCACCACGGCCACGGTCCGATCGCGAGGCCGAGTTGTTGACGACGAATCGTGGGGGGGCGGGCGATCGCGCTCGCTCGTCTCGTTTGCCGTGGCTTTGACCGCAGGCTGGCGCTGTGCGAGAAGGCCCTGGCCGAGTACCTGGACACCAAGCGCCTCGCCTTCCCTCGCTTCTACTTCATCTCGTCGGCCGACCTCTTGGACATTCTCTCCAACGGCACCAACCCTCAGCTGGTGGGAGAACCCAGCAGACCTCCGTAGCCGACCCACGTATAAATGATAATCATGAGTCAAATGCGATTTTTAGTCCACCGTGCCGATATTGTTCAGCGGCGTTTGTCGAAAGCGAGCAAACTCTGCGCCGGTTTCAGGCCTCTGGGTCTCATCAGCAGGGCGAGGCTTGTTGAACGAACGCCGCTGCTTTACCAGATGTTGTTGGCAAGAGGCAATTTCGCCTGGAAGTTAGTTTGTCTCTACGCGAGTCAGTCTGTCGGTCACTGGAGTAGATCTTAAGTTCGTAAGGCCGACCGGCTGGAACCAGGGGCCTATGGTGTTGATGATGAATTTTGTACGACGTTGGCTAAAATGGTCCAGCGGTGGCACGTTCACCGCTTGAGGTTCATGATTCGAATCCGTTAGGCCGCCCTGGTTATTGCTGCAGCATGTGGTATTACCCATGCGATACGCTCCGTTTGCTTCCCATTGGACGTCAATTCGACAAAGAGCCAGGCAATATTCTGTGCCGGCCGTCACGCTACAAATTTAAATAATATAATCACTCAAGCGGGATGACACCCAGCAGTAACATTTTTCCGTAAGGGTCCCCTCTACTTACAAACGAGTTAGGTTCCAGCGGTCTGTTCGTAACGCGATTTGTTCGTAAGTCCAACTTTATTCCCTTCGATTCGAAACATGTTGTACGGCGTGTACACTAAACACGGGGGAATGGCTTTAAAAGTTATATAATCTCCTGTAGATGTAGACGCCACTGGTTCTTCGTGTTCTACAGATGTAAATGCCACTGGTTTTTCACGTTCTGCAGATGTAGATGCCATTTGTTTTTCATGTTCTTTAGATGTAGATGCCACTGGTTCTTCGTGTTCTGCAGATATAGACGCCACTGGTTCTTCACGTTCTGCCGATGTAGATGCCACTGGTTCATGTTCTGCAGATGTAGATGCCACTGGTTCTTTACGTTCTGCATGTGTAGATGCCAATGGTTCTTCACATTCTGCATGTGTAGATGCCACTGGTCTTCACATTCTGTAGATGTAGATGCCACTGGTTCTTCACGTTCTGCAGATGTAGATGCCACTGGTTCTTCATGTTCTGCAGATGTAGATGCCACTGGTTCTTCACGTTCTGTAGATGTAGATGCCATTTGATTTTCATGCTCTGTAGATGTAGATGCCACTGGTTCTTCATGTTCTGCAGATGTAGATGCCACTGGTTCTTCACGTTCTGCATGTGTAGACGCCACTGGTTCTTCACGTTCTGTAGATGTAGATGTCATTGATTTTCACGTTCTGTAGATGTAGATGCCGCTGGTTCTTCACGTTCTGTATATTTAGAAACCACAACCGCCATCTATTGCGCGGCGGTTGAACATTCGACTCTCGGTCCAAACAGGCAACTGGACGTACAGGACAGGCTTGTTTGTATCTCTGAAAGTTCGTAAGTCGAATATTCGTAAGTAGAGGGAGTCCCTGCACTATGAAACCGCCGCAGGACTGTGTCTGTGAAAAAACCCCGGCACCTACCTTCGTGCCGATAGCGCCGGGCTTACGAGAACGAATAGCGGGCAAATTCCAAAAGTGCTTTGGATCTAGTGACTGCGAT